TTAATTTGATAAATTTCAATTCCTTTGAACAAATATTATCTAATATGATAACCTCAAAAATTTTTATATAATAGTTAATATTCTTCAACTAATATAAAATGGATAATTAGAATATAATGTTTCATCAAATAAAAATGTTTCATATTAATCATAAAAAAGTTTGATAATGTATTTATATATTTTTTTATTGAAACATCATATAACATTAACTTTTTTTGTCATATAAATGTGATAGAGTTATGCATAACTAATCAATCTTTCATTTTATTTTTTTGCTTAAAATAATCTTCCATTGGTGCTTTTATTAATTAATTATAATGGTACTTTTGATAAACTAAAAACTTAAATTTTCTTTTATTTTAAAAATTTTATTATACATAAATTTTAATTATACAAAATATTAAAATACATAATTTTAAAAAATAAAATAAAATCATATCTTGAAAGAATTCATCAAAAATAATTAATTTTATTTTACTTGATAATTTTTTACTTAAAATAATTCATGTTAGATCATTCAACCACATGGATTATTTGATGTGAAAAATCATTTTACTTATAAAAAGAGTCAAATAATAAAAATATATATGTAAATTAAAATTTCTATAAAAATTACTAATGACATTTTGATCAATCACTTTTAACATTTTTTAAATTAAAATTTTATTAAAAGTATTTTAATCAATCACTTTTAATTTTTTTTTTAGTCTAATAATAAAAAGAAAGAGTCTAATAGTAAAAAAATTCATATAAAAACATTTACTAAAGATATTTTAAGCGATCACTTTTAATACTTTTAAAATTAAAATTTTAAAATTTTAAACAATTTAATTTTACATAAACTCTATTTTTAATTTTAGTTGATTTCAATTAAATTTAAATAAATTAATAAAAGTTATACATATTTAAGAATAAATTTATTAATTTAAAATTTTATAAAAATATTTAAATCGTTCATTATTAATAGTTTTAAAATTTACACTTTTATATATAAATGATATATATGTTGTATCAGTTGAAACCATAAAGGATTCATCTTATCATTGAAATTGAGAATCAAATATTCTATTAATAGATGATTTAAAAAATAAATGAAGAATTATGGAGGTAAGAGTTGAACTAATGAAAAATCTAGAAACCACTAGGCAGATAGGAATGCTTTGACGTTAGCATTAAATCAAAGGCGGATCTTTTCTAAAGCGCTTAGATGCATCCAATGGATAAAGCCTAGTACCAAAACTCAAAGGCTGTTAGCCCTGTTGTTCCATTGTTGCTTCCCAGAGAATATAAACAATGATTATATCCATTTTCGGGCTTCTAATTTATCTCATCAATATCACTGCAGTTCTTTGCTTAAAAAGAGGTTCTCGGTGCCTTCATTAAAATCCTGAGTTCCTGACATCTATCTGGTGAAGTATCACCCTGGAAATACTATGCTTAAGAATAATAATAATATCTTCAGTAGAACAATCTTCAAGCAGTAGCAGCTTTGTCTTTATGGCAAAAGAGAGAGACATGTCTATAACATATATATGTGATATGTACATGATATGTGACGCCTTCAATTCCAAATAAAAAGAATGTATGAATATGGTATAACATAAATATATCTAAATTTAAATTTATGAAACATTTTTTGTGATACAAAATTATGATATTTTTATATAAAAATAAATAATACGTCGTAAATTAAGTATGGATCTCCATATCATTTATTTATTCTATATAAATATATGAATTTTAAAAGTGTTAAAAGTTATTGATTTAAATACCCCTATTAATTTTAAAATTAATAAATTTATTTTTAAATATATAATTTTTTAATTTATTTAAATTTAATTTAAATAAACTAAAATTAAAATTAGAGTTTATGAAAATTAAACTACTTAAAATTTAAAAATTTTAATTTTAAAAGTATTAAAAGTAATTGATTAAAATACACTTATTATATTTTTATAAAATTTAATTTAAATAAAATTTTTTATTATTATGCTTTTTTTATAAATAAACTCAAAAAGTTCTAAAAATAATTATTAAAATACCCTTAATAAAATTTTAATTTTAAAAAGGTTACAAGTCATTGATTAAATACCATTACTAATTTTTATAAATTTCACTTTAAATGAATTTTATTTTTTATTACTACACATTTTTTATAACTAGACTTATATTAAGACACAAAATTGGATTTTTCTTCAAATAAAAGTATAAATAGAAGGATATAAAAAATTATTAGTATGCATAAAAATGAAATAATTATATTGAATTTGGTTCTCTATTATTGTGAAAACAATTGCACATGTAATTTACATTGATAAATAAATTCACTAAAAATAATTATAATTAATTTATTAAAGCATATTTATTTTTTTTATTTTTGCACTTTAAATATTATTTGAATTGATTTACTAACTATATATGTATGTTAATAATTTTATTATTTATATGTTTATGAAGTAATTATTGATAATATTATTAAATCATTTTATTTTCTTAAAATAATTATTTAATATATGTCATTTTTATAATTTAACTTGATTACTATAATTTTTTTTTTTACATTTTTTTCTTCCAAAATTTTATAATTATCGTTCTGAAGTTTATTGTCATATAATAAATGCCCAGAATCCCCAATCTAATGTGACAAGGGTTACTCATATGATTCTTGTAATTAATAAATTACACTGTATAGACTTCACCAACTTTGAGAGTCAAGAAAGAAAGATAATTAATGACAACGATTCCTATTTACAAAAGTGCCCATTTGAACAATTTTTTGCGGTGCCTGTCAATCGCTGAGTTCCCCTCTAGTCTATTTCTTAACGAAGACCAAGAATTGGTGACTTAGATCAGTAATTGTACCAGAATTAGTGTTCATAATATGTCACAAGTGGCTGTAGATGGTTGATGTCAATTTTAAAATAGACAACTTAACCTTACAGACAACTGTTATATCATGAAAAACACAAAAAGTCATAAAATATATAATAAATTAATTAAAAACCCAACAACCGCGAAAAATTAAAAATAAATATGATAATTTAAAATATGATATGATAGAATGATATTAATACGACATAAATAAAAATTATAAAAATAATATAATTTAAAATTTTAATAATTATTATATATAAATTTAATAAAATTAAAAATATATATTTTATATTTTCGTATTAATATAAATTATAATATAATATGAATATATAAATTTTAATATTTTACATAATAAAATCTACTTTCACACTATTTAAGTGGTAATTCTAAATCTAAGACAAACAAATCTATTCAAAATTTTTGGCTAGAAAACTTGGTACTTCTCTGACTAAAGCAGCTATTTGGTGAAATTAATTCTACCAAATCCCAGCAAGGAATTCAATATGACAAAAATATTTTGATCAAAGCTCCTACGCAGTCTCTCCTTTCTACGCACGTGGTGCAGAAATTAAAGACTGCTGACGGAAACCACCCAGCAACCATGACTCAACTACGAAGCAGCTGCCGCCATAGCCTATGGATCACTTTTTTAAGTAAGTACTTGAACCGTGAAATTTGACTCAAACCTAACAAACCGTCCCAATCCATATGAATCTAAATTAGATTCAATTTAATTTGATAAAAAATAGTTAACAACTCAAATTTTCTATGAACCGAAAAATAAATATGAAATTATATTAATTTAATTTTAAAAATCAAGAATTTGAATATAAAATAATTAATAAAAATAATTCGAGTGTTAAATTCAAAATGATTAAATTCAAAATAATTTAACTTAAATTTTTTTATCCAAAATGATTTAATCCAAATCCGATCCAAATTATTCATTTGAGATGGAAACAATATTTTTAGTCAAAGTTCTTCAAGTCCAAAATTTGGATATTGTTTTGATAAACTTTGCAGACTAATTTTATATGTATAACTTTGCAAATCAATACATACATTGCAACACTTGAATCTTATATCGAAATATTTTAAAAATTTATTTTAACTTATAATTTTATAATTTTATTTTATAAAAAATATCTTATAAATTAAAATTTAAATCTCAATTTATATATTATAATAGATTTTCATTATGAGTCAAAATCAAACATATTTTTTCCACAATGAAGCAGAGAAGTTTGCAGAGAACTTCTGTTTTGGTTGTTGAAATAGAAGAAAATACAAACAAGTATTCAGCAAAAGCTGGCCAACCAGTCACAATTGTAGATATATATAAGTTCTTTTATAATTTAAAACACCGTTACTTTTGAAAATTTGATCGCACTATTTCATGTGGTCATAAATTTGTAGCTCATGTTTGGGACTGACCAAAGGAATTTTTTTTTTTTCTTAATCTCTTTTGTCCATTCTGGAACTTTCAGCCAAATCGACTTGGATTGCCAGCAACACCTGACCACGACCACCTTTGCACCAACCACAATTTTGGGGAGCCATAAATAATTTCCAGTGGTGTCATAGAGTAATTAACAACACGTACAAGAGAAATTAATTAACACAAATATTAAAATTTTTTTATATATTTGAGATTATAAAAAATTAATCCGTAATCATTGAAACGAAAAATTTATCATTCTATCAACAAATTATACTACTGTTAACAAATATTGAATTTTTTGTAGATATACAAATAAAAATCCCCTAAATAAGTTAGCTCATTTAAAAAATATATGTTTTACCCATAAAGTAAAGATGTAATACAAATGAGACTAATTGGTAGCCTCCAGCCTCATATATAATACAAAATAAAGCGATATAATTTATGGATGATGTTGGAACTTGACTTCAATATTGGTGTTATGTCAATAAAAAAATGAAATTGAATTTATTGTAATTTTCTATTTAATTTTAATGATGGTCAAGATTAACTCATCAAGTGTTGAATTTGGACTTAAATGTAAATTTGGTTAACATTTTTTTTTTCCAAAATAATGACCCCAGCAAATTTGTATGTATCTTCGGCCTTAGTACTAGGAACAACTCTATAAATTTACAAAATTAAGGGGCGTTAGCTACAAGCCTATAACTCATCACACACTAAAACAGATCTAAATCTGCTTCAGCTTCATTCTCTTCAGTACCTTTATCTTTTTCTCTTTTTGTAGTAATGGAGCTTCATCTGCCTTCGTTCCAAGTCCTTCTCACCTTCCTTCTTGTTTTTTTCATGATGTTCAAGAGTTTAAAGAAGTCAAAATCCAAAGATTCAACCCGGAAATCGATTCCAGGGCCAAAGAAATTACCAGTGATTGGAAATCTGCACCAAATTGCTAGTCCTCTACCCCATAAGACCATGAGAGACTTGGCCCTCAAACATGGACCCTTGATGCACCTACAACTTGGTGAAGTTTCCACAGTGATAGTTTCTTCACCAGAAGTTGCCAAAGAGGTCATGAAAACCCATGACGTCAACTTTTCTTACAGGCCAGCTCTTGTTGTTCCGAAGGTCACCACTTATGATTTCACAAACATTGCCTTTGCACCTCATGGAAACTATTGGAGACATCTGCGGAAAGTGTGCACGACAGAGCTTTTGAGCGCCTCAAGGGTCCAATCATTTCGATCAATAAGAGAAGGAGAGGTTTTGAATCTCATCAAAACGTTACAGCAAAGTAATGGAAAGCCTATCAATATTGGCGAGAAGATTTTCTCAATGACATATGGGATAACAGCAAGGGCAGCCTTCGGTAAAAAATGCAAAGATCAAGAAATATACATTGCTAATATTACAGAAATCACAAAACTGGTATCTGGTTTTTGTTTAGCTGATTTTTATCCTTCAATTAAAGGGCTTCAGCATTTTAGTGGTCTAAAGGCAAAAGTTGAAAAGATTCATAAGAAGAATGATAGGATTGTTGAAAACATCATTAAGGAGCATAGAGCGAGAAGGGCAAGTGGAAAAGGCAAAGATGAATTCGAAGTAGAGGAAGATCTAGTCGATGTTCTCTTACGGATTCAGGAGGAAGATGAGTTTACCCTTGAAGACAAAAACATCAAATCAGTCATCTTGGTTAGTAATTCAGCTTTTATTTATTTATTTATTGGCAGCTTTTATTTATTAGTTATCATAAGTTTGCAGTTTCAGATCACCTTTTGTTATTGAATTCTTTACAGAAACAGAGAAGCATATATATATTTTTTATGGTTTCAGGATGTTTTTGGTGCTGGAAGTGAAACTTCATCAACAACAGTTGAGTGGGCAATGTCAGAAATGATGAAACACCCAAGGGTGATGAGAGAGGCCCAAGCTGAAGTACGGCGAGTTTTCAAAGAAAAAGGAAATGTAGATGAAACAGGACTTCATGAACTCAAGTACTTGAAAGCAGTCATTAGAGAAACATTTCGAATGCGCCCTTCTGTACCATTGTTGCTTCCTAGAGAATGTAACCAGGCTTGTGAAATCAATGGCTATAAGGTTGCTGCTAAAACTAGAGTCCTCATCAATGCATGGGCACTTGGAAGAGATCCTGATTACTGGAATGAACCTGACAAGTTTTACCCTGAGAGATTTCTCAATAGTTCAATTGATTACATGGGGACAAATTTCGAGTTCATCCCATTTGGTGCTGGAAGGAGGATATGTCCGGGGATATTGTTTGCAGCACCTAATTTAGAGCTGCCACTTGCTCAGTTATTGTTCCATTTTGATTGGAAGCTGCCCGATGGAATTAAAGCCGAAGATCTAGAGATGACTGAGGTCTTTGGCATGACTGTGAAGAGGAAAAATGACCTTGTCCTAGTTCCCACTCCTTACCATGGTTCTACTATTGTGCATTAGAATAAAAAAGGAAGCAAATCTTTGGGTCCCTTACTATATATGGTAGTCACCAAGGGAAGGCTGTTAGATAAATGACCTGTTTCCTTTAAGCTGATGCTCCCATCTCATGTACCCATAAGCTGTTGCTGTCATGTAGTGGAAAAGACAAATAAGCTGCTGCTGTCATGTAGTGGAAAAGAAAAATAAGCTGCTTGCTTTCATGTAGTGGAAAAGAAAAATAAGCTGCTGCTGCTAGCTGCTGTCATTTTCTTGCTTTTAGTGCATAGGGAAATGTTGAGTTTTATTGCATGCACCATTTGAAAGATTTGTAGCTAAAAGAATTAAATGGACAACTTCTGAAAAAATGAGTCGGTAGTATATTAAAATAAGTTGAAATTATCTGATCTAAAAACACAACATACATCCAAATCAATCATATATGCAATGATGTCCTTAAATCAAAGCAAAGGCTGGTCTATACATAAGCCATGCATATGAACCAATTTTCATAAATAAGCTTGTTTGTTAAGTTAAATCATACGGACGTGACGATCCCTTTTTTTTCCGTGATGAAAGAAGCTTTATGTTTTTTTTTTTTTTTATGACGAAAGAAGCTTCGCCTATGATTCAATCCATCTGCACCAAATTGACCAATAACTTAACTTTCTTTAAAAAAGGGATAAACCAAAAATTCAGAGTTTAGCCAAATTATTCAACATTTAAAGGCAGCCAAGATTGACATACTTTGAACAAGGTCCCAAATGTTGTTATCAAAAACAAACAAAGGATGCGTCACTACAAAAAAACTGCTCTATACTGACACTCAGAAAATTTTCAATAAAACTTAAAAATCTATTGGTATAGTATAATAAACCTTATACTGACGGTCAAAATATCTATTTTGACAAATTTATAACCGTCAGTATATCTCTTATAGGTATAAACCTATACTGACAGTTTTAAGCTATCGAAATATATAATAGAGATATACTGACGGTTTTAGTCCATCACTATATGTATAATTATTGGTATAGCAACTATTGTATTTTCCTTATTATACCTTTTATCGATGGTTATTTTCGTCAATATAGACTGTATGTTTTAATTTTTTTAACTTATACCAACGATATTTCTATCAGTATATATTTTACCAATGGTCAATGTTTGTCAGTATAGCCTTATGTGTTTTAACTTTTACCAACCATCCATGATGACTATTAGTATAGCCTGAAATATTCCAATAATAAAATGCATCAGTCTAAATTTTAAGGCATCGATAAAATAATTTTTATTGAATTATATTTTTAATTATTAATATTAACTTATTTATAATCATAATATGATATTGTTTCATATAAAGTAAAAATACATAAAAAAGTAAAAATATTCAATAACATTTGAAATAAAAAAATAATCAAATTATTTTTATAATCTACAAATTTAAAATAAATCAAGAACTATCGTCATTGTACCAAATTCAAAATATATATATATATATTAATATCTATGATTGAATGCCTACAAACATGGTGCTCGAAGTAAATAAACAACTCCCTAAAGTAAAATGATACCATCCCAAGTTGGTCCAAATACCTGTTTAATTAGTAAAACCCAATAAAAAATTTCATGTCAAATTAAGTTTTTAACAATCAATTAACATAGGAAATGTTCCCAAGGTCAAGTCAGGCATACTAGAAACTATAAATAAATGAATTGCTGACAAGATTTTATCCACTGTTATAGGCTCCCCCTATTTCATCAACCCAAGCAACTACTGAAGTTGTTGAATTCTTTAGAATTATTTGAAGGTCTCTGAAGGGCTACTACCTACCATCTAGATAAGATGGATCTAAAATTTTGTTCATAAGCTAATTATCATTACCTATATACAGGGAAAATATGTAATTTAATAACTAAATTCTAAGAAATATTTTTTAAACAATGCAATTTACTATTTTGTCATACCTGCACCAAGGTTGTAAATGTGTTAAGTCACTACTTGCAGGGATTTGGGTGTTTTTTGTACAAATTCTGTGAACCCTAAATATTCAATCTTCCTAAGCTATTACTTCTTCATAAAACATTCAATCATCAAAGCCAGTGCCAGTAGAAAGACAAAAAAAATAAGCATACTTGATGATACAAAATTAAAATGCAAGAGATAAAAAATACCTTTGAGAAATGACGAGAGTCTATGATGCTTCAACTTTGATTCAGCTTTAAAACAAAATAGGCACCAATGGGTTTAAGTTTGTAGAGTCAATGAGAGGTGGAGAAAGTTGGTAGGAGATGGAGATTAGGCTATGGGTACCGATAAGTAGAGAGAGTTGATGAGAGGTGAAAATTAAGCATGTAGAGTCGGTAAGAGGTGAAGGGAAAGAAAATGATTTAAATATTTTGGAAATTATTTAAGGCATTTTTGACAAAAAATGCCTTAAATAATCCCTTTCAATTTTTATGAGAGGATTATTCGAGATGTTTTTGGCTAAAAAATACCTTGAATAATCTTTTTACAAAAAATTGAATAGGGTTATCCAATGTGTTTTCTGGCCAGAAAATGCCTTGAATAATTCTAAAAAAAAATGGGAGGTGAGGCAAAAAAAACCTTGAATAATCCCTTCCAGATGGGATTATTCTTACTTTAAATAATACCTTTTAATTATGAAAATACTGGAGTAGCTCAATCGACTAGAGTATATAGTTGTTAATCATAAGGTTGTAGGTTTGATCCCTCATTTTAGCGTTTTTTGGGTTTTTCAAGAGATTATTAAGGTGTTAATAATCCCAAAAAAATGGGAGGAATAATCCCCTCTGGAATGGATTATTTTTACGTTAAATAATACCTTTTAATTATAAAAACACTAAAGTAGCTCAATTGGTTAAAGCATACAACTGTTAACAATAAAGTCATAAGTTTGATCCCTTCTTCTAGTATTTTTTGAGTTTTTCAAAGATTTTTCAAAGTGTTTTCTAACTAAAAATGCATCGAATGATCCCCTCTATGAGGAAATTATTTTTAGTTTAAATAATAGCTTTTAATTATAAAAACACTAGATTAGCTTAATCAGTTAAAGCATACAACTATTAATCATAAAGTTGTAGGCTCAATCTCTTTTTTTAACATGAGTTTTTTAGATTTTTCAAGGATTATTCAAAATATTTTTGATAAAAAAACTCTTGAATAATCCCCTCTTGGAAGAGATTATTCTTAGTTTAAATAATAGCTTTTAATTATAAAAACACTAGAGTAACTCAATGATTATAGCACACAACTATTAATTATAATGTCGTAGGTTTGATCTTTTCCTTGAATAGGGTTATTTAATGCGTTTTTTAGTCAAAAATGCTTTGAATAACCATATTTAATTTTTTGTAAGGGAATACCTTGAATAATCTCTTACCAAACGCCCCCTAATTTTTTCCCAAATAAAAGCTAATAGTTTTTTTTTTGTTTTGAGTTTATACTTACAGTTACATTAATAACTGTCAGTATATAATATATTTATACTGACAGATAGTCATATACCGTCAGAAAAAATTTATTTATACCGACAGTTAAATAAAATGTTAGTATAAATATGATATATTATGACGATATTAAAAATCTATTAGTAAAAATCTTTTCTATTGACATAATTTGACTGTCAACATAACCAAACGTCAGTATATAAAAAAAATTTTGTAATGCGTGTCGGTGGACCTTCAATTCATCATAAGAACGTGATTTTTTTATTTTTTATTTTTCTAATAAACAATTACTAATAATGCAACATTCAATCAAATATTAATTTCTATAAATGTCTATAGATATCTGTCAATAAGATCCATTAGTATTTAATATTTATGCAAATTAAAGGATGAAAACAACTTCAGCAAACACTATAACAACCAACATGTTACATAAAATTTGAGTTTGGCCAATGCACCTTTAATATTACTCTCCAACCACCATTGATCTATCACCTTGGAACAATTGCCGTAAAATATCACATTTAAAATAAATATGATTAACACCTCTAAATTATAATTTTAAAAAGGTTAATATCATAAATGGTTCTTAGATTATAATGAAATATTTAATATAATATTTTAATTTTTTTTTAATATGATACATGAATTATTAATTTATTAATTAATATGATATTTATATTTAACGTGACTAGCTTCAAATAAATTATAATTCTTTAAATATTATATTAATTAATAAATTTATAATTTAAATATCACGTTAAAAATTTTTTAAATTAGCATCATATTAAATATTTTAATATAATTAATTATTTATGACATTGACTGAGAAACATAAATTCATCTGTAGCTCTTTTTTTTGTCTCTAATTATTGGTTTTGTTGTAGTGCCTCCTCATGGGCCCCTGACCCCATCACACTTAAGAGATTTGACTAAGCAATATTGACTTTGATGTGGTTAAATTTCAGTGGCAGTTCCAACGTGGTAACAAAGTGATTATGAAAAACAAACAATTGATTAATTTTTTTTTTATTCTTCCACCTGTATTAATTTCATCCTTTTAACTCTATAAATGATTTGCCTGCTAGCAGTAACGATGATCAACCTTTTCTCTAAAGAAGATAAAGATGGCATTTTCTCTGAAAAAAATTTATATGAAATTTTATGGGTAAATTTTATAAAGGTTTTTTATTAAAAATAAATAAATAAAAACTACAATTAAAAATTAAAATTGATAAACTAAAAGATCTTATCACATTAATCAAACATATCATTAATTCTAGCTAGAACATTGAAATTATGACAAGTTAAAAAAAAAAAAAACCCAAAGCTACCTCCTGGGCCCTGGAATTTGCACAAGATCGTTTAGGCCCTACCCACCAAACACCGAGTGACTTAGCCGATAAATATGGACCTCTAATGTGGTTACGAATGGGTGAAGTTCCCACCATTGTAGTTTTGAAAACCCCTGATTCTATGTATCTTTTCCACCTTGTCTTCCTGATGTCAGTATAATGGCATGCAATTTCACAAGCATTATTTTTTCACCATATGTAAACTATTAGAGACATTTGAAAGTTTTGCGTAACTGAGCTTTGAGTTAAAACCATGTTGGATCATTCTAATCAATCAAGGAACAAGAGGCTTCCGATCTTATCAGAACCATATATGAATGAAGGGTGCCAGTGAATATCAGTTAGAAAATATATGTTCTCATTGACATATGGGATAACAGCAAGAGCAGCCTTTGGCAAGAAAAACAAAGACGAAAAGGAATTCATTTCAGGATTGCTGCGTAAGGTTCGATGCTCTTAGGTGGTTTCTGCTTACTTGAGAAACTACATCTAGCATAGGATACTTAAAAACATTATGAACATAAAGGGAGGAGACACTGATAAATGTTAAAAATTGATAATGAGAAAAAAGATCCACTAATTGTAGATAATTATAAATATACAATCAAAATAACCACTCACAATTAATACTTATGACTCTCTTATTTTCCTTTGATCTTGTGGAGTATTCTAAACCTAAATAAATATATATCCATATGCATCTATACACCATCTCTATGTGGATTCTCTCAATCTCTTCTAACCTATTTATAAACATGTTCACAAGTATTTAAACATACACACCATAAATCTTCAATAATCTTATGAAATGTTTATCTCATGAAATTCTACAACTCTTTTATATTTTTTTCTCATATCTAATCCTATAAAAATTTTACCTACTTATAAGCATATATACTTGCTTATCAAGAATCTTTTTAATCTTAATATTTTTCTCTTACAAGTTTTTTTGTCATCAAGTAATACCTAATCAATATAAAAAAAAATCTATTATAAGATTTGAGTGATCATTTCTAATAGTTACATCCTCCTATCTTTCTACATAAATCTTATTATGTTATCACATTTTGTCTGTGGATGAGGATGTAAGTTATGATGCTTGAAAATAATGTTTGAAAATAACTATCCAAGTGTCAAATCCCTTGGGATTACTGATTATCAAGCTTTTTTTCTTCTTTAGAAAAAATAAAGTTGATCATGATTCGTCCATAATCAACAAATTTGAGGATTTTTACTATAATTTTTTAAGGTTTATATTTGATACATTATCGATATATAAATTTTATACACAGATAATGACAACTCATTAATAAGTAAATATAATTTTTAAAATAAATATACACAAATTAAAATAACTTATTCATTAATAAAGTATTATCATTTAATTCATCTTATTAATGAGTTATCATCATCTGATTTACTGATAATATATAAAATTTATACATTGATAATTTATCAAATATAAACTTTTTTTTTTTTGTTAATTCTTTCTTAAAATTTAGAGTTAGGATTACGAGAAAGGAATAATGATAGCAAGTCTGATTTGGTGTTTTGGTGATCCGATTGGCGACAGGTTACAATGCAAGTAAGTAATACTTAATGGATGATCCTTGGATTTTTTTTATAATTGTTTTGCTAGGCTTTTTGATTTGAAAAGTTTTTTTTTTTTTAATGGATTTTGAAAGATGAAAAAAGTTTCTTGATGGTAAGTCACATTATTGTATATACGAAGAAAATGCCATAGAAAATTGGATTTCTGGAAAAAAGTTGTACCTATTATTCAAACTTTCAGTTTACTTAAGTGTTCTTTTCCCTTTTGTTTTATCTATTTTATTAGTGTAATTTTTTTCGTTTGATTCACTTTTTCAAATCTGATTAGTTTGCTATAATTTTTCATTATAATTTGATTTAAACTTTATAATAGTTTTCATTCAATTTTGCTGATTTATTCATTAATCTTTTAATTTATTACATTATTATCTTTTAAATATTTTGTTATTTTCTAACTAAATATATATTTTTAATTAAATATGTTCAAATAAACGGATATGCAAAAAAACCGACAATTTTTTAATAGTAGGTAAAATAGTATATAGACAGTTATAACCTCAGATTCATGCATCAAGCTGCCACCAGGGCCATCGACTCGTCGGCTTGTATCTCATCACTCTTCTATTATTGATGTGTCTCTGGCGCAATCCACGTGGGAACGGAATTAATGAATTATTGAGGATTGCATGGTACGAGCTTGGTGCAATCCATGTGGGAAGGGAATTCATGAATTCCACCTCTTCGAAACGCGTTTCGCCTGCATAATTGAGATTTCATTTCAAACAAGAAATTTCTAAATGCGAAAAAGTTCGGATAAAGGGAAGTTTTTTCAGTTTAGAATAAAAGTAGATCATAGGTTTTAAAAAGAATTTACATTAAATTTATAGATCATTCATTAAAAAAAATTATTAACAATAAAATTTGAACTTAAATTTTACAAATAACATATTCAAATTTTATCAATTCAATCAATTTTTATTAGCATTTTAATCCAGATTTTTTAAAATATCAAAATAAATTTATTTATTTAGATAAAAGTAAGACAAAAATTTCAAAATTTAAGATGAATTTTATGAGATGATTAAAGAATTTCAAACTCTTTCTTGAAATTTCACTTAAATAAATGATTTTTCCAAATTTTTTCAAATCTCTTCCCGTTTTATCGTTTTATCTTTACATGATCCCTTATAATATACAAAACTCAAAAACTAAAATATTGTTTTATTTAAATCTAAAATAGTTTTTTTATTTTTATATTATTAATGATCTTTATTTTTAAAAGTATAAAGATATTTTATATTGAATATTTTTATGCATATATTTTATTTTTTAATATCTTTTATAATTATTTTTTTATCTCATAAAATTCAATAATCTTAATGACGTATTTGGTGCAAAAGATTATAATAAAATAGGATAAAAAGATATTATAAATATGATTAAATTAAATAATATTATTTTATCTTATATTTGATATATCTAAGAATTATGATAGAATAATTATTTTTATTAATTAAAATTATCTTTACTCAAAATTTATATAATTTAAATTATTGATATAATTTTTAAAAGTATAATAATATATATAAATTCAATTATATAAATTAAATATAATCTTTTTCGCTTTAGAAGATATGAATCATCATATATCAAGATAATGATATATTTTTCTTATAATCATATATCTTTCTTCATATACAAATCAAACATGATATATGATGATTATCATCCCATTTCATCCATCATCTTATACACAAACATAATATAAATTTCTTTCTAAAAAATAATTTCTAAATAAAATAATTACAAATATTAATATTTTAAAGTAATATATTTTTAAACACTTTTTTTTAAAATATTTTCAAATTTTTAAAATTCTCCAAACCCAATCTTAAAATATAACCCATGAGTTTCATGATATGGCTATTATTTAAAGTCAACAATAAATCAACTCTTTTCTTTTTTACTTTGTTACTCTCTCTTTTAATTCCTAATTTTTTTTCAAGGTATTTTAACTAGTACTTTTTTTCCCTACCTGCATTTAATACAAATATATAACCTAAATATTATTAGGACAAGACCCCTTTTTTTGCCTTAAATTTTAAACCTCGATTCTCTTAAAGGAAAAGTACTAGCCAAGAAAATTGAGCAAAAATACAATAAAGAAAAAAAGCCTTTCCTCTTGTTTCTCACACTTCTTAATTATACCGCATAAGAAGAAAGAAAGAAAGAATGTCGGGTAGCCTTAAAAGTTTGATGCATGTGTCATATATTTAAAGAAGAGTCTTGAATCTCACATCAAACATAATAGGAGGGTAATTGGGATATATAAAAGTTTATATCACCTCTGTCTTGTGAGATGCTTTTGTAAGACAAAACCCTGAGATCAAAGGGGGCCAGAGCGGATAATACCTAACAAGGGTATGAACCGTGACAAGAAGGCTGATCTGAGATCTCGGAAGGGTAAATGTCCGGATCCTAGAGCCGTACGAGTTCGAAGCTTAAGTCTCAACCTGTGACAAGTGGTATTAGAACCAGCCCTAAATCATTCGATCTACGCCAAGCACCTCAAGGGAGGTAGGCAGGGTGACTAACTTCCGCGACGAGGGCATCACGAGGTTGAGTGCGAGAAAATGTCACAGACCTCGGGAAGAGTCCTGAATCCCCACATCGAACATAATAAGAGGGTCACTGAAGTATATAAGAGTTCACACCACCTTCGCCTTGTGAGGTACCTTTTGTAGGACAAAATCGTGACGTCAGGAGGGACCAGAGCAGACAATACCTCACAAAGGTGTGAACCGTGATAAGAAGGTTGATCTGAGACGTTGAAAGGGTGAATGCTCGAATCCTGGAGTCGCGCAGATTCAGAACTTAAGTATCGACCTGTGACACATGCATTCACCCATTAAACAAAAGTACATTAATTTTTCTCTTCACGAGGAAAGCAAATTTTCTTATTCAAAATAAATCCTTTGATTTTAATTTTTGGTACAGATTCATGAGTCTTGTGGGAAAGATTTGTACGAAACTTATTAAGTGAAGTTTTATATTAAAATTGATTAAATAGAAATTAAAATAAAAAATTAGTATTGATAAATTGAAAATTTTTATTACATAAACCAAATATATAAATTTAAAAAAAATTAATAAATTTTGATATATTTTTTAAATAGATATTTTTAATAAAAATTTTGATGAAATATTTACCATTGAATAAGCGCTTATAAACTTAATTATAAACAATATTTTTAATAATATTGTTTTATATATTATTGATTTTTTCATTAAATTTCATTAATTTTTTAATTTTTATTAAATTATTTTTAATAAAAAACTTCATCCAAAAAGTTTTTTATAAGTTCTTTCCTCTTTTGTATCGAGTTAATTTATATTAAACTAATTATTTATTTGAAGAGAGATAATATTTTAAAAAACTTTAATTTTATTATCTCACATTTAATAAATTAATACGATAGTATAATATAAAAATTATACAAAAAAATAAAAAATATATAATTTAAAACTTTTATAAAATTAAAAAATATATTTAATATTTAATATTTAAAATATGAACATAAAATTTGTATAATACTTTTTATATTTTATATATATTTGATACAGAATAGAACCAACATACTTACAAATTTCATGATTAACAAGGTTGATCAATATTTATTTTTCACATGAGAGTGAATAAAAAAAAAGGCTGCCAATTAATTTGATTTGACAATTCATTTTAGCTACTAAAATAGGAGTTGAAAAACAATTTTTAATTTCCTGTTTTGGGTGGTGTGTCGTACATCGGTAGACACGTTGGCATGAAATATTGACTTAAGCACAATATGTTCCCATGGCAAAGAATGGAATCACAACCGTGAATACTTATATTTAAAATTATGCCTGAGAATTTTCATATCATTACAAGCTATATCTTCACTACTTTCATATACTAATGGAGCTTGAGTTTCCTCCATTCTCCTTCCTCCTTACCACCCTCCTGTTCTCATTCATGATTGCCAGAATAGTTAAGGCATTGAAAGCTAAGAAACCATCCCCAAAGCTGCCAGGGCCATGGAAACTACCCCTGGTAGGAAATATTCACCAGCTTAGTGGCTCACTACCCCATTGCACATTAAGAGACTTGGCTCTCAAGCATGGCCCCTTAATGCACCTACAACTTGGAGCAGTCTCCACAGTTGTTATATCTTCACCTGAATTTGCCGAGGAAGCCATGAGAAAAAATGATCTCGCTTTTGCTTCCAGGCCTTACCAACTAGCTCCAGGGATCATATCTTATGATTGTACCAACATTATCTTCTCCCCTTATGGTAGTTATTGGAGGCAGCTTCGAAAAATTTGTGTATCCGAGCTTTTAAGTGCGCAGCGCGTGAAATCATTCAAAAGAGTTAGAGATGAAATGGCTTCCAATCTCATCAAGACAATATCTTCAAGCCAGATAAGTTCACCAATCAATCTTAGTCACAAAATTTTCTCTTTAACGTATGGCATAACGGCAACAGTAGCCTTTGGTACGAAATGCAAAGAACAGGAAAGGTTTATATCTATCATCACTGAAGTTAATAAGCTTGCGACAGGCCTCACCCTGGCAGATTTGTACCCTTCAATTAAAGCACTTCAGATGATTAGTGGAATCAGGCCAAAACTTGAGAAGCTACATCGAGAAGCTGATAGAATACTTGAAAATGTCATTGCTGAGCATAAAGAGAGGAGGACAAAGGAAAATGGCCGTGGTGGAGACGAGAAAGATATAGTTGATATGCTTTTAGACCTTCAAGAGCATGGCAACCTTGACTATCCCCTATCTTCCAATAATATCAAATCAGTCATATTGGTATGGTTGCTTTAAATTTCCATACCATGAAGTTCAATAAGTACTTGTTTAATTCTAATCATTCTTTAGAAAAAAAAAAAAAAAAGGGAAAAAACATTTTACATGCTTATTTAATAAACTAAATTTTCAATATCCATTTTCAGGACATATTTGCTGCAGGGAGTGAAACATCATCAACAATTGTTGAATGGTCAATGTCAGAACTGTTGAAGAATCCAAGATTAATGGAAAAGGCTAAAGCTGAGGTGAGACAGGTCTCTAACGACAAAGGATATGTGGATGAAGAAGTCTTTCATGAACTGAAGTTCCTAAAATCAGTTATTAAGGAAACATTAAGGCGGCACAATCCTGTGCCTTTAATACCAAGGGAATGCCGTGAGAACTGTAAGCTTGGCGGATATGAGATACCTGTCAAGACTAAAGTCCTTATCAATTCATGGGCAATTACAAGGGATCCTAGATACTGGAATGAACCTGAGATATTTAATACAGGAAGGTTCCTCAATAGCTCACTTGACTACAAAGGAACAGATTTCCAATATATTCCATTTGGGGCTGGAAGGAGGATATGTCCTGGCATATCGTTTGCTCTTGCTAATATTGAGCTGCAACTTGCACAATTCTTGTACCACTTTGATTGGATGCTACCCAATGGAATGAAGTATGAAGACTTGGACATGACAGATGCACCTGGTTTAACAATAAGAAGGAAACACGACCTGTTTGCGATTCCAATTCCTTACCATCACTCTCCTCTTGAATAAACCAAATATCAGGTGTTCATTTGGCCAATATTTGTGTAAGGCATTGTAATATTTTGTTAGTACTACTATTGGTCTTTATTCTGTTAAATTATGGCCTAGTCTATACAGCCACAGATGGCTTAGGGCTAAAGCTTGGTTGTTTTATATGAAAACTGTAATCAATTATATTTCGTTTGGCTAAGATGAATATCTAATCTTGCAATATCATCTGCATATTGTTTTCTTAATCTTTGGAATTATAGATGATGATGAGAATTGGATGGGGCAGATACAACTAGTCTGTCTTTGCAGTCTGCTACTCCAGGAAAGAAATATCCTTTGTAGTTGATGAAAGCTAAACATCATTGGATTCATCAACATGAAATCTGACACAAAATTTGATATGGCTCTACTCATTAATCAATGTCTGTATATTGAGAAGATGGTTTTAAGTTCGTTCTGATTAACTTTCCTTTGGTAAACGAAAACTTGTGAGGTTGCTAGGAAACAAGTTATCCTCATTTTCCAACCTCATAGGATAGGAGAGTAAACTATGAGATCAAATATAGGTTCCAATAAGTGGTTTCCACTTTCCATTTAGATTAGACATTTTTGTTTCAAACATACTATTACGGGAACATGGCACCAATGAAAGAAAAAGAGAAGGAAAAATAATCCGTGTACTTATCATTTTGTTGCATTTCCAAGCAGTTTCAGTTTCAAATAGTTGTTGGAAATTGAGAATGGAAAAAATTAGTGCATTGAACATTGTCAAATAATTGATAAGAACATTGACAGAATATTTGCAACTGTACAGACTTGACGCTGAAATCACACCTTACAAAACAATCAACATCTAGCATTTGACAGATTTATGACAGAAAACTGAGAATTGAAACAAATATTTAGCTTAATTTTTTGAAGGAATTGGAAAATAGGCACAAAACTGACTAAAAGTACTGGAAATTTGAAATCCAACAAGGTGAGAAACGGGAATTGAAGCTTCATGAAGATCAAAAAGACCCCACGTACGTACCTTTTTTCCCTGAAAGAAAAGTATGAGTCCAGTTAACAGGTGCTTATAGGACTCCGGGTTAAAGATTATTTAATTACTATTTTAAGACTTTCACTTTTAATGCATTGTTTTTATCAAATTAAAAAATGTATTAATTATAATTTCTTTCGTTACATATCACATTATCCAGTACCAAAATTACCATTTTCCTTACTTTATATAGGTAAACTTGCTCATTAGATGCAACTTGAAATAATATCTTTGCATTCAATTTCATGAAAAATATTGTTTATAAACTGATTTGGACTTGTCCCTATTAGTTTGGCTAGATGTTTTATTTTGATTTTGAAGATAGAATCCACTTTTTCAGACTCTTTTTTATGACATGTGATACTATGGGTCAATAATTTGATCTTCACAACGTTTTACCAACTTGTCAAATCATTATGATGTAATAATGTAAGTGTTTGTTCAATTAATGTATGATGGATGATATCAATGGCAGCGCTTAATACCCACTTAGCCACTTGTGAATGTTTTCTAACCTTGAAGTCAAGTGGTATAGGGGAGTTTAATAATGATTCATGAATGATCAATTAATTGGTATTAGTCCAAAATTAGATTCAACTCTTGAATTATGATAGAGGATCAGCCTAGCACATTACAAGTTAGGTTTATAATTGAAATTGAGTTTGTAGAGACATGTTCCACCCAAGGTAGCCCAACCTTCAATCATACTCCTTACAATTTTTTTTTTAATTTCATGATTTATTATTGTTAATGCGCTTTGTTAAACTTAAAAAATTGGAATCCTGATTTGTCACAAATCATTAATTTGGTGGTTAATAGACAAAATTGAACATATAGCCATCGGGATAAATTATCACAAGAACAAGTTGACAATTCGCTGACAAAACGTTCAAAGAAAAACATTAAAGACAACGGTGGAGTTGTATAAAATTGACCCATTTTTCCCAATGGAATGTTTTTAGCATAAAGTTTCGAACAGATATGGGCCCTACGTGAACAGAGCCGACATTTTTTAATGCATGGATAATGTTCACCATTTCTTGTTCCTGTTTTGCCCCTAAGAAGACAAATTCAATACGTCGATGCTTGGTGTAATTATCCGGTTTTTATTCAGACAAGTGGCAGTTTTGTCTCCGGCGTCAGCAAAATAACTATTATAATTTGAACAGGTTCTGATCAGTAGGAGATTACCGGTTTTTCCTACTAAATTGAATTTTTAATTTTAATTAATTTCCTTTAATCCAACAGCTGTAAATTGATTAATTTTCCTGCTATATATAATCACAAAACCAAAAACTTTCAAACACTTAACCAAACAACATCTTCTCCATTACTCAAAACCCAAGTTTTTTCTTAATGAAGCTTTTTGGTTCAGAATCATCTTTACTAATGGGTAAAGAACCCGTTTTTGATTTTCTCCTAGAACCCTTTTTTCTTCATGGGTTTTCTGCTTCATTACACCTAGTTTTATTGCTTTTCTTGTTACTCTTATGGGTACCGAACAGAGTTAAAAAAGCTGGTGGGGAAGGTTCAAAGGAGAGGTTAAGGCAAAGGAGGCTTTTATGGTTTAAGACAACTCTAACTTGTTGTTTTGTTGTTTCAGCTTTTAATATTGTGATGTGTTTGTTAAGGTTTTTTTGTAGGAATAGAAATAGTTGGTCCCAGGATGAGTTAGTAGCTCTCTCTGATTATGTGGTCAAAACACTTGCTTGGGGAGCAATGTGTGTTTACTTGCATTGTCAATTTTCCAATTCTAGTGAAAAAAGGAAGTTTTCATTTTTGTTGAGAATTTGGTGGGGTTTCTATTTTTCAATTTCATGTTATTGTCTTGTTATAGACATTGTTCTTGTCAAAAAACATATTTCTTTCCCAGTCCAGTGTTTAGCATCCGATGTTTTTTCTGTTATTACTGGTTTGTTCGTATGTATTGTGGGGTTTTGGGGAAGAAATGAGGGTGAAATTACCCTCCTTGATGCGCCCCTTTTGAAAGGAGATTCTAATGTTAGTAATGGTGTAGACTTGAGTAAGAAGAAAGGGGGTGATAGTGTAACCCCATATTCAAATGCTGGTATTTTCAGCATTCTTACATTTTCTTGGATGGGGCCTCTTCTTGCTGCTGGCAATAAGAAAACTTTAGACTTTGAGGATGTTCCTCAGCTAGATACTGATGATAGTCTGGTTGGGGCGTTTCCAAAATTTAGGAACAGGCTCGAGGCAGCTGACAGTAAGGGGAGTGGAGTTACCACGCTTAAGCTGGTGAAGGCACTGTTCTTGTCAGCTTGGAAAGATATTCTTCGAACAGCTTTGTTCGCGTTTCTGTACAATGTGGCTTCATATGTTGGACCATCTCTCATTGACACTTTTGTTCAGTACCTGAATGGGCAACGGAAGTTTAAAAATGAGGGATATCTTCTGGTTACGGCTTTCTTTGTTGCAAAGCTAATAGAGAGCATATCGCAGAGGCGCTGTTTCTTTAAGTTGCAGCAAGTTGGACTTAGGCTGAGAGCAGTTCTGGTAGCAATGATTTATAACAAGGGTTTAACGCTTGCATTCCAGTCAAAGCAAAGGCACACCATCGGGGAGATCATCAATTTCATGGCTGTTGATGCAGAGAGGGTGGATGAGTTTAGTTGGTACATGCATGATCTGTGGATTATCGCCTTGCAAGTTGCTTTGGCCTTGTTACTCTTGTATAAAAACCTTGGGCTAGCATCCATTGCAGCTTTTGTTGCAACAGTTCTTGTTATGTTGGCAAATATTCCTTTGGGGAAAATGCTACAGAAGTTTCAGGACAAGCTGATGGAATCAAAAGACCAAAGGATGACGGCAACATCTGAAATACTAAGGAACATGAGAATTCTCAAACTTCAGGGGTGGGAAATGAAGTTTCTGTCCAAGATTATAGGGTTCAGGAATGTTGAGGAAGGATGGTTAAAAAGATTCGTTTATACAAATGCCATGACTACTTTTGTTTTCTGGGTTGCACCCTCCTTTGTGTCTGTAGCCACTTTTGGTGCTTGTGTCTTTTTAGGAGTTCCACTTGAGTCAGGGAAGATCCTATCTTCAATTGCAACATTCAGTATTCTTCAAGGGGCAATCTCCGATCTTCCTGACACAATTTCAAAGATAGCTCAGACAAAGGTATCTCTTGATAGAATTGCTTCCTTCCTTCAGCTTGATGACTTGCAGCCTGATGTTATAGAGAAGCTTCCAAGAGGTAGTTCTGATACTTCAATTGAGATTGTTGATGGGAATTTCTCGTGGGATTTGTCTTCTTCTATTGCAACATTAAAAGATATAAATTTGAAAGTTTGCCAGGGTATGAGGGTTGCTGTTTGTGGTACAGTCGGCTCTGGCAAGTCAAGTTTACTTTCCTGTATTTTGGGGGAAGTACCCAAGATATCCGGAACTCTTAAGTTGTGTGGTACAAAGGCCTATGTTGCTCAGTTGCCTTGGATACAAAGTGGCACAATTGAAGAGAACATATTGTTCGGTAAGGAGATGGACAGGGCGAGGTATGACGAAGTTCTTGAAGCCTGTACCCTCGAGAAGGATCTTAAAATCCTCTCATTTGGTGATCAGACAGTTATAGGCGAGAGGGGAATCAATTTGAGTGGTGGACAGAAGCAAAGAATACAGATTGCACGTGCTCTATACCAAGATGCTGATATCTATTTGTTTGATGATCCTTTTAGTGCTGTGGATGCTTACACAGGATCTCATTTATTCAAGGTAACATTTTTAAACATTCTTTTCTTTAGTTTATGCTGGCAGCAGTACTGCTCTATATGAGGTAATTAATTGAAAAACCTATAATTGCATTCTGGCCAGCTTATTGTTTTGAGCTTTGCCCTTTCGATTTTTGAGTTTTCTTCTTCAGTTGATGCATTGCCTGAGTATCTATGTTTTGTCTTTGAATGACAGGAAGTTTTGCTGGGCATTTTGAGTTCAAAAACAGTGATTTATGTCACTCATCAAGTCGAGTTTTTACCTGCTGCTGATCTAATATTGGCAAGCTTTTTAAATTTCAAATGATTTTGTCTTGGATTCATGAAAAAATATATATATAATTACCGGATTTAACTTGCATATTTTCTTTTAGGTCATGAAAGATGGGAGGATTGCACAAGCTGGAAAGTATGATGAAATTCTCAATTCAGGGACTGAATTTATGGAACTTGTGGCTGCACATAAGATAGCTTTGTCACCCCTTGATACTGTTGAGGCAGGATTTGTTTCAGAACAAAGTATGGGTGAAGGAGATGGTGCTATGGAAAGTGCCGATAGAAAACTGCAGAAAGAAGGAAATCAAGGTAATGAAAGTGGTAAAGTAGATGATGTTGGGCCAAAAGGACAGCTTGTTCAAGAAGAAGAGCGAGAAAAAGGAAAAGCTGGGTTTTCAATCTATTGGAAATATATCACAACAGCATATGGGGGAGCTCTTGTGCCTTTAATATTGCTGGCGCAGATTCTCTTCCAGATTTTTCAAAATGGTAGCAATTATTGGATGGCTTGGGCGTCTCCTGTTTCTGCTGATGTCAAACCTCCAGTTGGGAGCTTTACACTAATAGTTGTCTATTTAGCTTTGGCCATTGCAAGTGCCTTTTCTGTCCTTGCTAGAGCCATGCTTCTTAACACAGCTGGATACAAAACAGCCACTCTTCTCTTCAAAAAGATGCATTTATGCATCTTCCGCACTCCTATGTCTTTCTTTGATTCCACACCTAGTGGAAGAATTCTAAACAGAGTAAGTATCTGAAATTTTCCCTGTATGATCTTTAAACATTCCATTTTACTTCATTTTTTTGGAAAATTTCCCCTTGTTTTTGATGGATTCTATTTTTTTCCCCTTACTCTTATAGGCTTCTACAGATCAAAGTGCAGTTGATTTGAACATTCCATGCCAAGTTGGGGAATTCGCCTTTTCGATTATCTATCTAGTTGGAATCATTGTTGTCATGTCTCAGGTTGCTTGGCAGATATTTATCATTTGTATCCCTGTGATTGCTACCTGCATTTGGTACCAGGTAGTTTTTGTCACTTCATACACTATGTTGTTCACCAAAATTGTGGCTATAGAATGCCTGACCTCATAAACTTGCAACATGCAGCAATATATTGTATATCTCAAAGTTTTCGGGTTTTAATATGCATTCAACCCTGCATAATACTTGGACATAGTAATTCTCATAAACTTGTAATTTTGCAGCAATATTACATATCTTCTGCACGAGAACTTTCAAGGTTGGTTGGAGTATGCAAAGCTCCAATAATACAGCATTTTGCTGAAACAATTTCAGGAGCAACAACTATCAGGAGTTTTGACCAAGAATCCAGATTCCAAGAGACAAACATGATACTGACTGACTCCTATTCTCGTCCAAAATTTCATTTTGCCGGTGCAATGGAATGGCTGTGCTTCCGCCTGGATTTGTTGTCTTCTATTACTTTTGTGTTCTGTCTTTTCTTTCTGATCTCTGTACCAGAGGGAGTTATTGATCCCGGTAAGTGATTGCCAATTGATATCTTCATTTATTAACTTGTCATTCTAGATAAGGAATGTGAAAAGAGAATGACTGAATGTATTTTCTTTTGTTTAGCCATTGCGGGGTTAGCTGTGACATATGGACTCACTCTAAACACATTGCAAACTTGGATAGTATTGAATATTTGCGGTATGGAGAATCAAATTATATCTGTTGAGAGAATGCTTCAGTACAGTAATATTCCTAGTGAACCTGCCCTTGTGATAGAAACTAATCGCCTGGAACGGTCTTGGCCATTTCATGGAGAAGTTAATATTCTTAATCTGCAGGTAATGCAATTATGTGGTGTTTATGACTCTGATTGTTATGTGATGTTTTTGAAATAAACGATGATGATTGATGTAGGTTCGTTATGCCCCACACATGCCACTAGTCTTGCAAGGTGTGACATGCACAATTCCAGGAGGGTTGAAAACTGGCATTGTAGGGAGAACAGGCAGTGGTAAATCAACTCTTATACAAACACTTTTCCGGCTAGTTGAACCTGCAGCAGGCCAGATTACAATTGACGGTGTTAATATCTCATCAATCGGACTGCATGATTTGCGGTCAAGACTCAGCATCATTCCTCAGGATCCTACCATGTTTGAAGGGACTATACGAAGCAATTTGGACCCTCTTGAAGAGTACACAGACCAACAGATTTGGGAGGTAGGTTCATTTTAGTTTGATTAACGAGAGAAAAGAATTTCTAGTCTGTACCATTTCTTTTCTAGTAAGATGCAGCCTTTAATAATTGTAATTTGAAGCCTCACAGTCACATGTATTGATGTGTGTTTTAATTCTTTTAAGGCATTGGATAAATGTCAGCTGGGGGATAAAGTTAGAAGGACGGAACGCAAGCTGGATTCTACAGGTCCGATTTTCTATCATCTAACGTACAAGTTCTTTCTTTTTTATTCTTTTGAATGTCGTACAAGTTTTGTAAATCTAATAAATTCAATTATTGAAAGAAATTCTTATAGTATTATAAAACTGCTACTGCAGTTAGTGAGAATGGAGATAATTGGAGCATAGGTCAAAGGCAGCTGGTCTGTCTGGGGCGTGTGCTGCTCAAGAAAAGTAAGATCTTAGTGCTTGATGAAGCTACAGCATCGGTTGATACAGCTACAGATAATCTGATTCAGACAACCCTAAGGGAACACTTCTCTGAATGTACAGTCATAACAATAGCCCACCGGATAACTTCTGTTCTTGATAGTGATATGGTCCTGCTTCTAAGTCATGGTCAGTATGGCTGTGTAATTTAATGTTTTACGTGTCGGATTTGTTGGAGTTCAACTTATTTAAAACTTTTTAACTGTTGCAGGACTCGTTGAAGAATATGATTCTCCAGCTAGATTGCTAGAAAACAAGTCTTCATCTTTTGCACAGCTTGTAGCAGAGTACATTGTGAGATCAGATTCAAGTTTGGAGAAACTTGAATGAACCAGATGCTGACAAAAAATAAGCATTGCATTTGATTTACACTCTACATTAATAACAAGATTAACAGGATGAAGCAAACTTAGTTGCTCATACAGCAACTCATCTTATCAAAGTAAATTATATATCTCCTCTCTCTATATTCCTTTTTATGGTAAGGAGTTAGCAGCTGAAAAATGGCATTCATGTTGGTGCATGGGGCAGCACCAACTAGTCTGTCTTGGCTCAGATGTGAGTGGTACTGAAGGAAAGCAATATCTTTGGTACTTGATGAAGCTACAAGGTAACAGTTAGGCAACACTTCTCTGCCTCCACTGTCACATGGGATGACCATTATTCTGATAGTATCATGGGGAATATGATTCTTTAACAAGGTTAATGAAGAACAAGTCATCCTCATTTTCCAAGCTCCTAAGAGAGTATTGTACGAACTCAAAAATCGGTTCCAATAACTGAGGAGCAGATAAATCAGAAACAATACTGTTTTGACAGAATTATCTCTAAACCATGTTAAAGCGAGAATGTTTCCAGTCTCCATTTAGATTTGACATTTTTGTTTCCGACGTATTATTTCCTGGAACTTAGCACCAATGACAGTAAAAGAGAAATAGCATCTTTGGTTCATCAAGCCGCATTAATTGGTTTCTCTTATTTGTTTGTTTGGTTGCTTGGAAAGTTACAAACCCACTTTTTACAAGGAGATTACATCTTTGGGAAAATAATCACAGTACTGTTTTACAATCTATCATGGTTTTGTTCGGTATCCTGGAAAGTGGAAAGTGGAAAGTTACAAAAGAAAATTGATTTTGACTAAGGATCTGTTTGGATGAATAGTAATATTGATTTTTATAAAATTAAAAACAACGGTGGAAATAAGATTAATTACTGTAACGATCGAATTTGTTCAAAATTTTTAAACATAATTGAATTTTACAATGAGATCAACACGAAATAAATCACATACAAGAGACAATGTTTTATTGGTTTAGCTCAATTGTCTTGATCTATGAATTAGAGAAAAAATTCACTATAAATATAGATATTACAAAGAGTGTAAAATATCATAAACAAACATTAACCTTTGACTCCTGAAATAACATTAGTTTTCATGCTTCCTACTATATAATCTATAGAATATCTTTTATCTCATACAATAGTTGATTTTCGAACAAATTCTTTTTTACATCCCTACAAATTTATCTCCCATATATAGATTACATAATTCACTCTTGTATTCCTAAAAGTTAATGCTCATTTCATATTTACAAAGATCTATTACTTTATCACCAAAAATTTTTATTTATTAAAAATTCTTACCCATTAAAAATATTTATCTTTAAATAAACTTAATTACAAGTAATTCTTTAATTAATAGAATTTCATTGAAATTTAAATTGATGTTCAATTAGAATTTAAATTAATATCTAATAAATTTTTATTTTAACACAAATTCTATCAATACATTGATATTTTAAAAATTTCGACTAAGACAATCAATAGTCACATGCAATCAAATTAATTTTACTCGATTGATTGCACCTGCAACTAACGCCTTGTTGTAGCACAATTTTTTTTTTTTTACATGCCTTTGATCCTACAAATATAATTTGCAATAATAAATCTCCTTTCACAATCAATATGAGATAACCTCAACAATTATTAAGATTTTTTAAGTAGAAATGAATTCCACAATTAGATTAATACGAAATAAGTCACATGTAAAAAAAAATCTATTATTAATGTAAAGATAAAAAAAAGTACAAAACATCATAAACAAATATTAATCTCGAACAAAGTTATTAATATTTTGATTTTTTAAAAAAATATGATGTATATCAATACCAATTATTTTGACATATTATTTCAAATTTTTTTGGTTTGGTACAAATATATTTATAAATATACATGAAATTATACATTATAATATTATTAATAATCTACAAAATAAATATACAATATATTTAAAAATCAAATAAATAAGTTTAAAAATATAAGAAATAATATCATAAAATTTTCATGATATTTTTAAATACTTAATATGATAATATGATATTTAAATAAATATTTTTTATATGAACATTAAGATAAAAACAAAGAGATGAAAAAAATTTAAACAAGACTTTATAATTGTTAAACTTTTATAAAAGGAGTATAAGTGATTTCTTGAAAAAAAAAATACTTATAAACTTTGGTTTAAAAAATTAAAATATAAAAAAATAAAAATAAAAAAATTCAATTTTTAAATGTTATTTTGTCAATTAATTTTATTTTTATTGGGTTAAAAAAAATTAAATAACAAAAAACAAGTTAAAAATTATAAAATATATTTTACATTCATGTACTGGTCGAAATATTTTATTCCACCAAAATTCATCGAAATAGGTCAAAACTAATGAAAACAATCGATATACCCAATACCAAATTCGATACGACAAATCATTCTAAAATGTACCGTATTTTAGTATAACTTGAGCGTAATGGTTGATATGACTGATAGTAAAACAAAATTAACAATTATGATCTTAAGCCCCTAAAATAATCCTCGTTTTCCATACTATAATCGATGAAATATTATTTATCTCATTTAACCAGTGTTTTCTAGAACAAACTCTTTTTCACACCCTACATACTTATTTCTCATATAGAGATCATATAATTCTCTTTCATAATTCAAAAAGTTAGTACTTACTTCATATTTAAAAAATTCCATTACTTGATCATAATAAATTCTTATTTACTAAAATTTTTTATTGATTAAGAATATTTATTTTTAAATAAAATTAATTATCAAGTAATTTTTAAATGATTTCTAATTAGAATTTGAGCTAATATTTAAGAAGATTAAAATCAATAATAAAATATGTGTTTGAATGTGAAAGTGATGATGGTGAGATAGATTGTAATGAAAGATAAAATGATTATTAGAGACATTAAAATAAAAATTGTATGTTAACTCATATTAATTATATAATAATAAATTTTATTTATTATTGTATTATGTAATAATAAAATTTATTTATTAGTTCATAATATAATAATAAATTTTATTAATTAATTTATTATATAATAAGTTTTATTTATATTAATTAATAAAATTATTTTACATTCTTAAAATGAAAATATAAAAATAAAAAAAAAGTTAAATTATAAAGATATTATTGTCTTTCTAATATAATCTTAAGAGTAAAATAAAAATAAAAAATAAAGAATTTGAGATCATTCTCCTAACCAACAAAAGAGAAATGAAAGTAAATATGCCACGATGATTAGAGATGTTTATGGGTTTTACCAATATTTAATATTAATAATTTATATATTTATTTAAATTTGATCTAATCTGATATTTTGAATTTTAAAATCGTTTTTAAGTTCATCTTAAATTAAAAAAGAAATCTTAAATCTAACTATAAAATTTAATTTATATAATAAAATTTTTTTAAAATTATTTTTAAAAAACTAAAATATAAAAAATAAAAATTCACATATATATTTACATAATTATAATATTTTAATTATATATAATTTATTTAGATCGAATCATGTCAAGTTTGATTTTTAATTTTTTTTATCTAAAATGCTACCCCATATTTAAATGCATTTAAAAATTATATTTAATCTCATTTAATGAATTTTAATTAATTATTTAAATTCTCTTAAAATTTGAATGAACTTATAAATTTGAAAGAATAATCTTGCACAGGTCTAACGATGATGCTGGTCAAATGGAGATTCGGTGACATTTTAAAATTTTTGACACAATTTCCTATTACAATCGCAACCTACTGAACTTCAATGAAATTCAAATGCTCCGTAAATACTCAATGTCCAAAATTAACGTTCAATTACAAAATAGTCAAATGATTCATTTGATTGCTTACGACTAACGAGTAGTGCAAAAGCAAATAATTGTACAGCAGGAAGAATAAAAGAGTATCCCTTATCCAATCAATTCTTAGGCACATGGAATCTCTGATCATCTTCAAACTGTATTTTTCATGAAACTTAGAAAAATGTGTTACCCAACGTAAATAGATTCGGGTAATCGTTCTAAGGACAAACTTTTGATAAAAATGTCAAGAAAACGTGCAAAGAAAAACACTACCCATTTCTCCGATTGGTGTGTTTTTGCTTCAAGTTTGCACATGAATAGTCAGTAAATGGTGGCCATTTTGCAATGGTTGGGCCCAAATGAAGAGTTATTGACTAAAAGACTTAAAAACCTTTCATAATGACCAAAATAATCTAAAAATTTGTCAAAATTTCCACATGCTTGTCAGCAAATTCATATGTAGGATAGATTTATCTATAAACACAACTGAAACTTGCAAAAACTTAACCAAACAAAATCTCCTCAAAACATTCAAAACCCAAGTTTTTCCTTCAATAGAAACTCCTAAAAGAATGAAACTTTTTGCTTCAGAATCATATTTACTAATGAGCTCAGCGACTAGTTTTGATTTTCTCCTCAAACCCATTTTTCTTCGTGGGTTTTCTGCATCATTACATGTAGTTTTATTGCTCTTCTTGTTAGTCTTTTGGGTAGTGAACAGAGTTAAACATGCTGATGGGGAAGTTTCAAAGCAGACGTTAAGGCAAAGGAAGTTTTTATGGTATAAGCAAACTTTAGCTTGTTGTGTTGTTGTTTCAGCTTTTAACATTTTCTTGTTTTTGCTAAGTTGTTTTTATTGGTATAGAAATGATTGGTCTGAGGTAAAGTTAGTGTCTCTTTCTGATTACGTGGTAAAAATACTTGCTTGGTGTGCAATATGTGTTTATTTGCATTATCAATTCTCCAATTCTAGTGAGCAAAAACAGTTCCCCCTTTTGTTGAGGGTATGGTGGGGGTTTTATTTTTCAATATCATGTTATTGTCTTGTTGTAGACGTTCTTCTCTACCAAAACCACGTTTCCTTCCCGAGTCAGTATATAGTATCAGATGTTTTTTCTGTTGTTACTGGTTTGTTCCTATGTCTTTTGGGGTTTTTTGCAAGAAATGAGGGCGAAAATACCCTCCTTGAGGAGCCCCTCTTGAACGGAGATTCTAATGTTAGTAATGGTGTGGAGTTGAGTAAGAAAAAAGGGGGTGATACTGTAACCCCATATTCCAATGCTGGTTTTTTCAGCATTCTTACATTTTCTTGGATGGGGCCTCTTATCGCTGCTGGCAATAAGAAAACTTTAGACCTTGAGGATGTTCCTCAGCTAGATAGCAATGATACTGTGGTTGGGGCTTTTCCAAAATTTAGAAACAGGCTTGAGTCAGCTGATAGTGAGGGGAGTGGAGTTACAACGCTTAAGCTGGTGAAGGCACTGTTCTTGTTAGCTTGGAAAGATATTCTTTGGACGGCTTTGTTTGCGTTCATGTCCACTGTGGCTTCATATGTTGGCCCATATCTCATTGACACTTTTGTTCAGTACCTGAATGGACAAAGGCAGTTTAAAAATGAGGGGTATCTTCTGGTTATGGCTTTCTTTGTTGCAAAGCTGGTAGAGTGCATATCACAGAGGCGCTGGTTTTTTAAGTTGCAGCAAGTTGGACTTAGGCTGAGAGCAGTTCTGGTAGCAATGATTTATAACAAGGGTTTAACCCTTTCATGCCAGTCAAAGCAGAGCCACACCAGTGGGGAGATCATCAATTTCATGACTGTTGATGCAGACAGGGTAGGTGAGTTTAGTTTTTGCATGCATGACCTGTGGATTGCCGCTTTGCAAGTTGCTTTGGCCTTGTTGATCCTGTTTAAAAACCTTGGGCTAGCATCCATTGCAGCTTTTGTTACAACAGTTCTTGTTATGTTGGTAAATATTCCTTTGGGGAAATTGCTCGAGAAGTTTCAGGACAAGCTGATGGAGTCAAAAGATAAAAGGATGAAGGCAACATCTGAAATTTTGAGGAGCATGAGAATTCTCAAACTTCAGGGGTGGGAAATGAAGTTTCTGTCCAAGATTATCGGGCTCAGGAATGTTGAGGAAGGATGGTTAAAAAGATTCGTGTATACCAATGCCATCAATAGTTTTCTTTTCTCTGTTGCACCATTGTTTGTGTCTGTAACCACATTTGGTGCTTGTATTTTTCTAGGAGTTCCACTTGAGTCAGGGAAGATCCTATCTGCACTCGCAACATTCAGGATTCTTCAAGGGTCAATCTGCGTTCTTCCTGACACAATTTCAATGATAGCTCAGACAAAGGTGTCTCTTGATAGAATTGCTTCATTCCTTCTGCTTGATGACTTGCAGTCTGATGCTATAGAGAAGCTCCCAAAAGGCAGTTCTGATACTGCAATTGAGATTGTTGATGGGAATTTCTCTTGGGATTTGTCTGCTTCTATTGCGACACTAAAAGATATAAATTTGAAAGTTTGCCATGGTATGAGCGTTGCTGTTTGTGGTACAGTTGGCTCTGGCAAGTCGAGTTTACTTTCCTGTATTTTGGGGGAATTACCCAAGATATCTGGAACTATTAAGTTGTGTGGTACAAAGGCCTATGTTGCTCAGTCGCCTTGGATACAAAGTGGCACAATTGAAGAGAACATATTGTTTGGTAAGGAGATGGACAGGGAGAGGTATGATAGAGTGCTTGAAGCTTGTACTCTCAAGAAGGATCTTGAAGTCCTTTCATTTGGTGATCAGACAGTTATTGGCGAGAGGGGGATTAATTTGAGTGGTGGACAGAAGCAAAGAATACAGATTGCGCGTGCTCTATACCAAGATGCTGATATCTATTTGTTTGATGATCCTTTCAGTGCAGTGGATGCTCACACAGGATCTCATTTATTCAAGGTGGCATCTTCTCTTCCTCTGATTAGCATGTATTTTAAATAGTCTTTTCTTTAGTTTGTGTGGACAGCTTTACTTTATGTGAGGTAATTAACTGAAATACCAATATTTACTTTCTTGGTTAAATTATTGTTTTGTGCTTTGTCCTTTTGTTTTTGAACTTTCTTCTTCAGTTGGTGTCTTGCCTAAGCATCTCTGTTTTATCTTTGAACGACAGGAAGTTTTGCTAGGCATTTTGAGTTCAAGAACAGTGATTTATGTCACTCATCAAGTTGAGTTTTTGCCAGCAGCTGATCTAATCTTGGTAAGCTTTTTAAATGTCAGTGATTTTGCCTTCGATTCATGGAAAAGAAATTACTGGATTTAACTTGTACATTTTTATTAGGTCATGAAAGATGGGAGAATTATGCAAGCTGGAAAGTATAATGACATTCTCAATTCAGGGACTGAGTTTATGGAACTTGTGGGTGCACATAAGAAAGCTTTGTCAGCCATTGATACTGTTGAAGCAGGACCTCTTTCAGAACAAATTATCAGTGAAGGAGATGGTGCTATTGGAAGTTCTAAAGGGAAAGTGCTGAAGGAAGGAAACCAAGGTAATGAGAGTGGTAAAGTAGAAGACATCGGGCCAAAAGGACAGCTTGTTCAGGAAGAGGAGCGAGAAAAAGGAAAAGTTGGGTTTTCAGTATATTGGAAATATATCACAACAGCATATGGAGGAGCTCTTGTGCCTTTAGTATTGCTGGCGAGTATCCTTTTTCAGTTTTTCCTAATTGGTAGCAATTATTGGATGGCTTGGGCATCTCCCGTCTCTGGAGAAGTCAAACCTCGAGTTGGGAGCTTTACACTAATAATTGTCTATTTAGCTTTGGCCATTGCAAGTGCCTTTTCTGTCCTTGCTAGAGCCATGTTTATTAGTACAGCTGGATACAAAACAGCCACTCTTCTCTTCAAAAATATGCATTTATGCATTTTCCGAGCTCCTATGTCTTTCTTTGATTCCACACCTAGTGGAAGAATTCTAAACAGAGTAAGTATCTGATATTTTCCTGTATGATATTTAAACATTCCTTTTATGCTTCACTTTTTTTAGCTTTTTTCCCCTTTTTTTTGGAATGATTCTAATTTTTTTTCCTGCCTCTTATAGGCTTCTACAGATCAAAATGCAGTGGATTTGAACATTCCATACCAAGTTGCGGGATTCGCCATTTCAATTATCAATCTTCTTGGAATCATTGTTGTGATGTCTCAGGTTGCTTGGCAGATATTCATCATTTTTATCCCTGTGGTTGCTACCAGCATTTGGTACCAGGTAATTCTTGTCACCTCATCCACTATGCTGTCTACCTAATTGTGGCTATAGAATGCAGGACCTCCTAAACTTGCAACCATACAACAGCATATTGTAAATCTCAAAGTTTCTGGCTTCTAATATATGTTCAAACTTGCATAATAGATGGACATAGTAATTCTCATAAACTTGTAATTTTGCAGCAATATTACATATCTTCTGCACGAGAACTTGCAAGGTTGGTTGGAATATCTAAAGCTCCAGTAATACAGCATTTTGCTGAAACGATTTTAGGAGCAACAACTATCAGGAGCTTTGATCAAGAATCAAGATTCCAAGAGACAAACATGATATTGACTGACTGCTATTCTTGTCCAAAATTTCATGTTGCTGGTGCAAAGGAATGGCTGTGCTTCCGCCTGGACATGTTGTCTTCTATTACTTTTGCATTCTGTCTGTTCTTTTTGATCTCTATACCAGATGAAGTTATTGATCCGGGTAAGTGATTGCAGATCAGCATCTTCATTGATTACCATGTCATTCTAGATAAGGAATGTTAAGGAGAATGACTGAATGTATTTTCCTTTTTTAGCCATTGCGGGGTTAGCTGTGACATATGGACTCAATCTAAATTTATTGCAAACTTGGGTAGTATGGAATATTTGCAATATGGAGAATCAAATAATATCTGTTGAGAGAATGCTTCAGTACAGTAGCATTCCTAGCGAACCTGCGCTTGTGATAGAAAGTAATCGCCCGGAACATTCTTGGCCATTTCATGGAGAAGTTAATATTCTTGGTCTGCAGGTAATGCAGTTATATGGTCCTTATGACTGATTCTTACATGTTGTTTTTTTTTTTTTTTAAAATAAATAATGATGATTGATGTAGGTGCGATATGCCCCACACATGCCACTGGTCTTGCGAGGCCTGACATGCACATTTCTGGGAGGTTTAAAAACTGGCATTGTAGGGAGAACAGGAAGTGGTAAATCAACTCTCATACAAACACTTTTCCGGATTGTTGAACCTGCGGCAGGCCAGATTATAATTGATGGTGTCAATATCTCATCAATTGGACTGCATGATTTGCGGTCAAGACTCAGCATCATTCCTCAGGATCCTACCATGTTTGAAGGGACTGTACGGAGCAACTTAGATCCTCTTGAAGAGTTCACAGATGAAGAGATTTGGGAGGTGGGTTCATTTGATTTTGATTAGGAGATAAAAGAATTTCTAGTCTGTACAATTTCTTTTCTAATAAGATGCAGTCTTTTACTGTGGTATTTGAAGTCTTAATTGTATTGATGTGTGTTTAATTCTTTTAAGGCATTGGATAAGTGCCAACTTGGGGATGAAGTTAGAAACAAGGAAAGCCGGCTAGATTCTTCGGGTTCGATATACTATCATATAACATACAAGTTCTTTCCTTTTTTTTCTTTTGAATGTCATACAAGTTTTCTAAAATCACATAAATTTAATTATCAAAAGGAACTTTTATGGTATTATAACACTCTTCTGCAGTTAGTGAGAATGGAGATAATTGGAGCATGGGGCAAAGGCAGCTGGTCTGTCTGGGCCGTGTGCTGCTCAAGAAAAGTAAGATCTTAGTGCTTGATGAAGCTACCGCATCCGTTGATACAGCTACTGATAATCTGATTCAGACAACCTTAAGGGAGCACTTTTCTGACTGTACAGTCATAACAATTGCCCACCGGATAACTTCTGTTCTTGATAGTGATATGGTTCTGCTTCTAAGTCATGGTCAGTATGGTTTTGTTATTTGATGGTTTGCTTGTAGGATTTGTTGGCGTTCAACTCATTTGAAACTTTTTAATTGTTGCAGGACTTATTGAAGAATATGACTCTCCAGCTAGATTGCTAGAGAATAAGTCTTCGTCTTTTGCACAGCTTGTAGCAGAGTACACTGCGAGATCAGATTCAAGTTCAGAAAAGCTTGACTGAATCGGATGTCTACAAAAACAACTGTTACATTTGATTTTCACACTATATTAACAAAAGATTAATAGGATGAAGCAAACTTAGTGCTCATTCTGTAACTCTTCTTATCTAAGTAAATAAGATGTCACACCTCTTTCTACATTCTTTTTTATGGTAAGGAGTTAGCAGATGAAAAATAGTATTCATGTATGCTATCAGAACGAATTTAGGCTAGCAATTGCTTTCTTAATATCAAAAGCTGGAGAAAATGGAGAGAATTGGAGCATGGATCAGAGACAACAAGTCTGTCTAGTTTGTGTGTGCTACTCTAAGAAAGCAATATAGATAACTCTTAGGCATCATTGAGTGTGCTACTTGATGAAAGCTACTGCATCAATGGATACAACTGTAGAAGACTCTTAGGCAACACCTTTCTGCCTCCACTGTCTCATGGGATGACTTCTGTTCTTGATAGTGGCATTATGTTTCGTTTATTGAGTAGATGATTTTAAGTTTATTTTTTACTTCCTTTGGTACAACAAAAACTTGGTGGATGGCGTGAAGGTATATGATTCTCCAACAAGGTTGCTGGAGAACAAGTCATGCTTATTTTCCAAGCTCATAAGAGACAACTGAGGGACCAGATAAATCAGAAAACAGTACTGTTCTTGATAGTATTAATTTGAAAACATGTTAATGTCCCATGGATTCCTGTTTCCAGTTTCCATTTAGATTTTGTTATTGTTGTTTCTAACATAATATTGCCGCAACTTAGCACCAATGAAAGAAAAGGGGAGAATGAAAAATCCTTAAACTGGTCATTTGGTTGCATTTGCAGCATCTCCAACCACTAAATTTTCAAATAATTGTTGTTGGAAGCTGAAAATGAAAAAAAAAAAAAAGAAAGAAAGAAAAAGCCTAATGCATCTTTCTTCATTGTTGCCAAAGCAAAGGTGCTTTTCAACTATTCCAAGTTTCTTGTCAAAGGACTAATAATTTATTCATTGTGGTCTTGGTTTGCTATTGGAGTCTGATGCAGGCAGTGGCATCTTTGGTTCATTGATTTGAAGCCACATTGGTTTTCTTTATTTTGTTTGTTTGGATGCTTAGAAAGTTACATTCCCACTTTTTACAAGGAGATCACAAATATCACCTTTGGGAAAACAGTTTTGTTAGGTAGCCTGGAAAGTTAAAGCAACAAGGAGATTTTTTTTTAGTAATAGGATGCAAACATTGATTTGCAAGTGTATCAAGCAGGAAAATTATTATTTAGAATGAAAGTTTGAAAGTAACACCTCCAATTACTGAATTTAAAAAGACCTTTAGTTTAATTTATTCATAAATTATTGATTTTGAACATTGAAAAGTTTTAACTTTAAAAAAGATAAAGCCAGACATTGACCATTACTTTTGGCCACAAAAAGCACTCAATGCTGGAAACTTTCATGAATTCAACTTATCTCGCAAGATATAAGAGTTGGATGTTGATGATAAATATTAGATTTTGATACCCTTAATTAGAATAAGAATAAAAGAAATTGTAAGAACAAAAAAAAAAAAAATTCTATTCAAATTATACTAAATTTTATGAATTGAGAACCTAAAATTTAACGTAAATTTCTTAAAATTAAAATTCGATTCTTATCATTTATAATAAATTTTTTATCTTTAAACTTCGATTTCTTTTAGACAAACAAATTTTATGAATTAGTAATTCCATTCAAAAGTGCCAACTTTTAAAGCCTGTGGATTAAAAATTCTAATTGACCAATTAGTGCATTGAACACAATCAACAAATTAATTACAAGGTGGACAGAACAATTGAAACTAATATAAACTAATATAAAACAAATTGATCAGCATCCTACATTTGACAGATTTATGAAAGAAGACTGAGAATTGAAACAATTTTCTGCTCAAAATTTTAAAGGAAAAACAAAATTTTCCTCTCCAACAAGCACTTAAAATGTTGATAGAAATGAAAACAAGTGGGCACGAAACTGACATAAAAAGTATTGAAAATCCAGCAAATTGACACTTATCTAAAGATCAACCATGGGCTTGAGATACTGTTGGCATATAATTTCGTAGTTAAATGTATTTATGAATCAAATCTAAAAAATCACTTAAGATTGGCTCATCAAATTCAAGAAGTCTAAAATTTTTTATTGTCACAAAAACAAGTAGACAAAAATAAAAACTTCTTGTTGCCAACAGCATTTTAGAGTGTCAAAAATGTCAGGAAAATGTGAAAGAAAAACACTATATAGACTGTTAGAGTTGTTTATAGTTGACCCATTGGTATGTTTTTGCATCAAGTTTCCGACAGCTATGGGCTGAAGGTTCCTACATGAGGAAGAAAGCCTTTTCCAAATGGGGTCCATTTTCCAAATGGGTGGGGCCCAAATGAACGACGTTTACCATTTTTGTTCCTGTTTTGCCCTTTGGCAGACGAGATTCTGACAACAGAATCTCCATGTTTTCGTGGTGAGCACACAATTCGAACTTAGCAAGTCTTGGTTTGGTAGACGGCGTTTTTGTCTCATTTTCCGGCTCTTTGTCAGCCAAGTGGAATGATTATCCTACCGACACGTGTCATCCGAATGATGGTTGGAAATTCGATGGTTTCTATTGGATTTCCATTTCTTTTTCCTACTGATTTATAACTCTTCATTAGACAATTATGAACTACAATTATTACAAAGACAAAACAATCCATCACTTCCAAAAGTGTGTGTGTGTGTTTTTTTCTTTAATTTACTTTTGTTTCATTTCACATTTCCCTCTCCTGAAAGTGTCTCTGTATCCCACAGTTTCACTGTATATCTCTTATTTTTTGTCTCTCACAGGTCACGCCTTTCCCGGAAAGCCTCCAACTTTTTTTGTCTATCTTTGAGGCTTAAGCCTTCCTCTTCCCTTTGCTCTCTCCGCCTCCAAGTTTGCTCTCCACGCATATCTCTTCCCCAAGTAATTTCCCTTCGACTTTCTCGGTCTCCCTCTTTGGACTCTAATACTCATTTTAAGTATCATTTCCTTTCTATATAAGCACAAAAACTGAAACTTTCAAACACATAACCAAACAAAATCTTCTCCAGTACTCAAAACCCAAGTTTTTTCTTCATTAAAAACACCCAAAAAAAAATGAAACTTTTTGCATCAGAATCATCTTTACTAATGAGTTCAGCTACTAGTTTTGATTTTCTCCTAAAACAAATTTTTCTTCATGGGTTTTCTCTTTCATTACACCTGGTTTTATTGATTTTCTCGTCAGCCATATTGGTAATGAACAGAGTTAAAGAAGCTGGTGAGGATGGTTCAAAGGAGAGGTTAAGGCAAAGGAAGGTTTTGTGGTTTAAGCAAACTTTAGCTTGTTGTTTTGTTGTTTCAGCTTTTAATGTTGTCTTTTGTTTTCTAAGTTATTTTTATTGGTATAGAAATGGTTGGTCTGAGGATAAGTTAGTGACTCTTTCTGATTATGTGGTCAAAACACTTGCTTGGGGTGCAACGAGTATTTATTTGCATTATCAATTCTCCAATTCCGGCGAACAAAAGAAGTTCCCATTTTTGTTGAGAATATGGTGGGGTTTCTATTTTTCAATTTCATGTTATTGTCTTGTTATAGACATTGTTCTTTTCAAAAAGCATATTTCTTTCCCAAGTCAGTATTTAGTATCTGATGTTTTTTCTGTTATTACTGGTTTGTTCCTATGTCTTGTGGGGTTTTTTGCAAGAAATGAGGGTGAGGGTACGCTCCTTGAGGAGCCTCTTTTAAATGGAGATTCTAGTGTTAGTAATGGTGTAGAGTTGAGCAAGAAAAAAGGCGGTGATACTGTAACCCCATATTCAAATGCTGGTATTTTCAGCATTCTTACATTTTCTTGGATGGGGCCTCTTATTGCTGTTGGCAATAAGAAAACATTAGACCTTGAGGATGTTCCTCGGCTAGATAGCCATGATAGTGTGGTTGAGGCTTTTCCAAAATTTAGAAACAATCTTGAGGCAGATGATAGTGAGGGGAGTGGAGTTACCACGCTTAAGTTGGTGAAGGCACTGTTCTTCTCAGCATGGAAAGATGTTCTTTGGACAGCTTTGTTTGCGTTTTTAAACACTGTGGCGTCATATGTTGGTCCATATCTTATTGACACTTTTGTTCAGTACCTGAACGGGCAAAGGGAATTTAAAAATGAGGGGTATCTTCTTGCTACTGCTTTCTTTGTTGCAAAGCTAGTAGAATGTGTGTCGCAGAGGCGCTGGTTTTTTAAGTTGCAGCAAGTTGGACTTAGGCTGAGAGCAGTATTGGTAGCAATGATTTATAACAAGAGTTTAACCCTGTCGTGCCGGTCAAAGCAGAGCCACACCAGTGGGGAGATCATCAATTTCATGACTGTTGATGCAGAAAGGGTGGATGACCTTAGTTGGTACATGCATGAGCCATGGTTGGTAGTTTTGCAAGTTGCTTTGGCCTTGTTCGATCTTGTATAAAACCCTTGGGCTAGCATCCATTGTTGCTTTTGTTGCTACAGTACTTGTTATGTTGGCAAATATTCCCTTGGGGAGAATGCTAGAGAAGTTTCAGGACAAGTTGATGGAATCAAAGGATAGAAGGATGAAGACAACATCTGAAATTTTGAGGAACATGAGAATTCTCAAACTTCAGGGGTGGGAAATGAAGTTTCTTTCAAAGATTTTCGAGCTCAGAAATGTTGAGGAAGGATGGTTAAAAAGATTCGTTTATACAAATGCCATGACTAGTTTTGTTTTCTGGGTTGCACCCTCGTTTGTGTCTGTAGCCACTTTTGGAGCTTGTACGATTTTAGGAGTCCCACTTGAGTCAGGAAAGATCCTATCTGCACTTGCAACATTCAGGATTCTTCAAGAGCCGATCTACAATCTTCCGGACACAATTTCAATGATAGCTCAGACAAAGGTGTCTCTTGATAGAATTGCTTCCTTCCTCCGGCTTGATGACTTGCAGCCTGATGTTATAGAGAAGCTTCCAAGAGGTAGTTCTGATACAGCAATTGAGATTGCTGATGGGAATTTCTCTTGGGATTTGTCTTCTCCCACTGCAACACTAAAAGATATAAATTTGAAAGTTTGCCATGGTATGAGTGTTGCTGTTTGTGGTACAGTTGGCTCTGGCAAGTCGAGTTTACTTTCCTGTATTTTGGGGGAATTACCCAAGATATCCGGAACTCTTAAGTTGTGTGGTACAAAAGCCTATGTTGCTCAGTCGCCTTGGATACAAAGTGGCAAGATTGAAGATAACATATTGTTTGGTAGGGAAATGGACGGAGAGAGGTATGATAGAGTGCTTGAAGCTTGTACCCTCAAGAAGGATCTTGAAATTCTTCCTTTTGGAGATCAGACTGTTATAGGCGAGAGGGGAATCAATTTGAGTGGTGGACAGAAGCAAAGAATACAGATTGCACGTGCTCTATACCAAGATGCAGATATCTATCTGTTTGATGATCCTTTCAGCGCTGTGGATGCTCACACAGGATCTCATTTATTTAAGGTAATATCTTTTCTTTCTCTGATACTATGATATGTACTTTAAGAGTTTCTTTACTTTAATTAAGGCAGAAAGCTATTTTGCTCTATATGAGGTAATTAATAATTATATTTGTTCTATTTTTCAGCTTATTATTTTGAGCTTTGCTTTTTATTTCTGAGCTTTCTCCTTTAGTTGGTGCTGCTTTGCCCTGTGTATCTTGTTTAATCTTTGAATGACAGGAGGTTTTACTAGGCATTTTGAGTTCAAAAACAGTGATTTATGTCACTCATCAAGTTGAGTTTTTACCAGCTGCTGATCTAATCTTGGTGAGCTATTTACATTTTCAGTGAATTTCATCCCATGCCTTGGATTCATGATGCAATATAATTACTGGATTCAACTTGCATATTTTTTTAGGTCATGAAAGATGGCAGGATAGCACAAGCTGGAAAGTATAATGATATTCTGAATTCAGGGACTGACTTTATGGAACTTGTGGGTGCACATAAGAAAGCATTGTCAGCCCTTGATACTGTTGAGGCAGGATCTGTTTCTGAAAAAAGTATGAGTGAAGGAGATAGTGCTATTGAAAGTGTTAATCAGAAAGTGCAGAAAGAAGAAAACCAAAGTAATGAGAATGGTAAAGTAGATGACGTCAGGCCAAAAGGACAGCTTGTTCAAGAAGAAGAGCGAGAAAAAGGGAAAGTTGGGTTTTCAGTCTACCGGAAATATATCACAACAGCATATGGAGGAGCCCTTGTGCCTTTAATATTGCTGGGGCAGATTCTCTTTCAGATGTTTCAAATTGGTAGCAACTATTGGATGGCTTGGGCATCCCCCGTGTCAGCAGATGTCAAACCTCCAGTAGGGAGCTTTACACTGATAGTTGTCTATTTAGCTTTGGCCATTGCAAGTGCCTTTTCTGTCTTTGCCAGAGCCATGCTTCTTAATACAGCTGGATACAAAACAGCCACTCTTCTCTTTAAAAAGATGCATTTATGCGTCTTCCGTGCTCCTATGGCCTTCTTTGATTCCACGCCGAGTGGAAGAATTCTCAACAGAGTAAGCATCTGGTTTTTTCCAGTATGGATTTGAAAGATTCCATTTATCTTCATTTTTTGACATTTTCCCTTTGTTTTTAAAGGATTCTATTTTTTTTTCTTGCCTTATATAGGCTTCTACAGATCAAAGTGCAGTGGATATGAACATTCATTATCAAGTTGGGGCAGTCGCCTTTTCAGTTATTCAGCTACTTGGAATCATTGCAGTCATGTCTCAGGTTGCTTGGCAGATCTTTATCATTTTTATTCCTGTGATTGCTACCTGCATTTGGTACCAGGTAACTCTTATCACCTCATCTACCATGTTGTCTGTCAAATTGTGGCTATAGAATCCATGAAATGATAAACTTGCAACAATGCAGCAATTTATTGAAAATCCGAAAAGTTTTTAAGCTATAAAACAAATTCAATCTTGCATGATACTTGAACAAAGTAATTCTAATATATTTGTAATCTCACAGCAATATTACATATCTTCTGCAAGAGAACTCGCACGGCTGGTTGGAGTATGCAAAGCTCCAGTAATACAGCATTTTGCCGAAACAATTTTGGGAGCAACAACTATCAGGAGCTTTGATCAAAAATCCAGATTCCAAGAGACAAACATGATACTGACTGACTCATATTCTCGCCCAAAATTTCATGTTGCGGGTGCAATGGAATGGCTGTGCTTCCGCCTGGACTTATTGTCTTCTATTACTTTTGCCTTCTCTTTGTTCTTTTTGATCTCTATACCAGAGGGAGTTATTGATCCCGGTAAGAGATTGCAAATTGGCATTTTTATTGACTACTTGATAACAAATGTTCAAGGGGGAATGACTTAATGTATTTTCTTTTGTTTAGCCATTGCGGGGTTAGCTGTAACGTATGGACTCAATCTAAATATATTGCAAGCTTGGGTAGTATGGAATATTTGCCAGATGGAGAATAAAATCATATCTGTTGAGAGAATACTTCAGTACAGTAGTATCCCTAGTGAGCCTTCTCTAGTGATAGAAACTAATCACCCTGCCAATTCTTGGCCATCTAATGGAGAAGTTCACATTCGTGATCTGCAGGTAATGCAGTTATATGGTGTTTATGTCTCTGATTTTAATGTATTGTTTTTGAAATAAATGATGATGGTTCATGTAGGTGCGGTATGCCCCACACATGCCACTCGTCTTGCGAGGTCTGACATGCACATTTCCTGGAGGGTTCAAAACTGGCATTGTAGGGAGAACAGGCAGTGGTAAATCAACTCTCATCCAAACACTTTTTCGGATTGTTGAACCAGCAGCAGGCCAGATTATAATTGATGGTCTCAATATCTCATCAATTGGACTGCATGATTTGCGGTCAAGACTCAGCATTATTCCTCAGGATCCTACCATGTTTGAAGGGACTATTCGAAGCAATTTGGACCCTCTTGAAGAGTACACAGACAAACAGATTTGGGAGGTTGGTTCATTTCTTTTTGATTACGAGAGGAATTGTTAGTCTATGTCATTGATACTATAGTAAAAGACAGTCATTTATAATTGGTATTTGAAGTCTGACATCTATCAATGTGCTTTATAATTTTAAGGCATTGGATAAGTGCCAACTGGGGGATGAAGTTAGAAAAAAGGAAGGCGGGCTAGAGTCTTCAGGTCTGATCTTCTATCATATACCACAAAAATTGTTTAAAATGTACTAAATTCAAATTTTGAAAGAAATTTTCATACTATTATGATACTTCTTGTGCAGTTAGTGAAAATGGAGAGAATTGGAGCATGGGTCAGAGGCAGCTGGTCTGTCTTGGGCGTGTGCTGCTCAAGAAAAGTAAAATCCTAGTGCTTGATGAAGCTACAGCCTCGGTTGATACAGCTACTGATAATCTGATTCAGACAACCCTAAAGGAGCACTTCGCTGACTGTACGGTCATAACGATTGCCCACCGGATAACTTCGGTTCTTGATAGTGATATGGTTCTGCTTCTGAGTCATGGTCAGTATGGTTGTGTAGTTCAGTAATTTATGGTTTTCTTCTAGGATTCTTTGAAGTTCATTTTATTTAATACTTTTTAACTGTTGCAGGACTTATTGAAGAATATGATTCTACCGCTAGATTGCTAGAAAACAAGTCTTCATCATTTTCACAGCTTGTGGCAGAGTACACTGTGAGATCTAATTCAAGTTTGGGGAAGTTCGACTGAATTAGATCATGACGAAAATTAAATATTATATTTTTTATAAAAAAAAAAAGTGTTACTCATTAGGCATGTAATAGTGGATGTTTTGTACAGCACAAGCCTGGCCGTTTGCTGACTTCAATAAACAGTAGTAATATATTTTCTTTTAAGGTTTTTTGTTCCATTAGCAATTTTGCTTGCTAGGAATCTTTGTTGGTGCATAAAACCAAAGAAATGCTGAAAATATAAATGAAATCAAGGATTTTCTTTTCCAGGAACTGTTCAAACAATCTGAAAGAAAAATCATTGAAAGCATACTCATTTGTAGTTTGCATATATAGCTAGTTAAACTCCAAGGCCAGTTCCATGTTCAATGAACTGGTGAATTTTTCCAGGTACTACATCACCAAAGTCTGATATTCGTTGATCTTTCTGTCGATCATTATTTTATTCAGTCTGTCATCAAACTTATCAAACCTTTAGATTAGTTTCAATATTTCACTATGTTATGAATAGTAACTTGTAAGAATCAATAAAAAATTTTTTTCAATTCATTAAGAGGTCATTTTCCTTATACAGGTGGTCAAGGTTCTTGGCTGAATGACCTGTATTTTATAATGTGAGACACATAATTCAATCTCTAGAATCAGAAATATAGAAAATTCTAATGGTAACAAATCTTTAAGCAGTAAAATGTTACAGAGATTTGGTAGAATAATTTGTCTTGAAGTCGAATTCACTGACATGAAGTTTAGGTTATTGTAATTGGTGGATCTATATTTGTAATGTTACATACAGTTTTTTTTGTCTTTCTTATTTGTTGATGTTGGTGAATGAAGCTACTTTCTTGTTTTTTGCTTTTGGACAGATGTATTATTTAGACTCCATATGATTGGTTGGTATTTTTTTTATATTTATTAAAAAATATAAATATAAATCAAACAAAACTTGATTTATTTAATAAAATTTTACGATTTGTAATATGAATAAATAATGAGGATTTATTATATGTTAATAAAATAAAAAAATAAATATAAAAAAGCTTAAATGGTTTTTCTTTCCTACTTAATTTATGCAGGCCTCAAATTAAGAGGATTGATGAATTTGAACAGAAAAATTTAGTATTGATTTTCCCATTCTTTTATCAGTTTTTTTATTTGAGATAAAAAAAATTTTCGAACTCAACTTTTTAAGTAAAGCAGGTTTCATAAATCAAATATCTGGAGGTGCAATTTCACTAATTTTTATTTTTTAGACCATTTTATTAGTTTTTAACAAACCAAAAGCCTCTTTTTTTTATTTTTTATTTTTGGAGTTAATACTTGCCAACTACAAATAAACAAATCACGACTATAGGCTACAAAAGTTGATTTTAAAAAAATAAAAATTAGAAGCATGAGTAAGTATTTGTTCAAAATATATTAATCAAGCTTTCTTTACCTAACTAGTAATATTTCTATTGTGAATGACATTGCTCACATAATTAAAAAACAAAAAAAAAAAGAATTTGTTTTGGTAATAAAAAAATATTGTACGATGTTAGAGCTTTCCTATGACTTAGGTGAAGTGATAAATTTTTTTGAATATAGCTACTTAAAGCATTTTTGTCTTTCATCAAAACTGCTCTTTCCTATTTGGATTGGGACTGTATTTAGATTACGATGCACGAAACAGTTCAGAAGCTGTATTTTCAAAGGTGAAAAGAAGCTAATTCCACTATTGATCAGGTCTTCTTGGTCATCTCATCTTTTGTCAATTAGGAGTAGTCAAGACTTTGTGCGGGTGCAAAGTGCATATACCAGCTGTAATAGATTCTTCACAAACAATTAATAAATTTATTACAAGAAAACCTTTATATCTTTTGGTCTCAATAGTTTACTATTATTTGTTTCAAATGAGGATTGTCATCATTCAATTTTTATCCAAGCGGAAACCAGAATTCATGTGGATGTGTGAACATGTGGAAAATGTTCCTTGACTTGGAAATATGACTGAAGAAAATCTGATATCCATAGGAAAGATAGCCGAAGGTGACTATTTATTTTCTTGAAAGCATATATAAACGTCCTATCCACTCTCGTGTCTCTCAACAATTATCATTTCTCAAAGAAACATGGAAGTGTTTGAACAGCAGTGGTTTCATGTCCTTTATTTTCTGATCCTCCTCCTGCATTTTCAGTTTGATCGCTCATTGTCTTTCTCTTTCAATTCCTCTAGTACTCCCCCACGGCATTGCCCTCCTGACCAGAGCTTTGCCTTGCTCCAATTTAAAAATACCTTATCAGTCGATCTTCTTTTCCTTACTACTACTCTAGTGAAGTGATTAGGTGTTATCCTAAGACAAGCTCTTGGAAAGCAGGTACGAATTGCTGTTTGTGGGATGGGGTTATGTGCGATACAGAAACTGGTTATGTGATTGGTCTCGACCTCAGTTGTAGCTGCCTTCGTGGTTCCAACACTAGCCTTCTTAGCCTTCGCCATCTGCGCAGACTCAACCTTGGTTTTAACGATTTTACCTCCCCTCTAGTAGCATCTGAGTTGGGTCAGTTTACTACTTTGACCCATCTAAGTGTTTCTAAGTCAAAATTTTCGGGCATAATCCCATCTGCAATGTTCTCTCACCTGAACAAACTTGTTTCTCTAGATCTATCAGATAATTATTTGAGATTTGAGGGCAATAGTTTTGAAAATCTTTTGGGAAACTTGACGCAATTAAGAGAACTTTTTCTTTATGCAGTCAATTTGTCTTGGGTTGCACCCACTTCTTTTCATAATTTGTCTTCTTCCATAATGGTTCTCAGCCTCGGTGATAATGAGCTGCATGGTGAATTACCTGAAGGTATCTTCCGCTTTCCATACCTCCAAAAGCTCAGAATTACTAATCCTGGTTTTTTGGAAGTTAACTTCCCAAAAACTAATTGGAGTAGTCCCCTCAGGTAACTAGAAGTCTCAGATGTATCCTTCCCAAAAGAACTATCTCTACCTAGTTCTATTGGTAATCTTAGGTTGCTGGAGGTATTGGATCTTCATTGCAATTTAAAAGGATCAATTCCAGAGTCTTTTGGCAATCTTACACGACTCACTTATTTAGACCTTAGCTATAACAATATTATTGGGCAGCTTTCAACGTCGTTTTCAAATTTGAAGCAGCTCAGATATTTAGATCTTTTTTCTAACCAACTACATGGGCAGATTCCTGGTGCTTTTGGAAACCTCACCAAACTTCTTTATTTGTCGTTAGGGGTAATCAATTTAGCGGGCATTTGCCATTTTCGGTATTTGACCTCACAAACATTGATTATCTTGACATGTCACAAAATAAACTGGTGGGTTCCCTTCCTTCTCAAGTTAGTGGCCTTTCATTACTATCAAAACTTGACTTATCAGGTAACTTCCTCAGTGGTAGAATCCCACCCTGTTTGTTTACCCTTCCATCATTGCTTGTGTCATCGCTTAACAATAACAAGTTTACTGGTCCGATTGACCAATTTGAGCAACCCTCTGCGCCATTGGAGTCTGTTTACTTGATGAATAATGAGATACATGGCCCAATTCCAAGTTCTGTCTTTGCACTTGTAAACCTTACTGTTCTTGACCTTTCATCCAACATGCTGACTGGCATCTCTGAACCCAACAATCTCCCAAAGCTCAACAAACTTAAGAAATTAGATCTTTCAAATAATATTTTACTATCATTTAAGAGTGGAAGCAAAGCCAATTACGTTTTGGCTCTCAATCTTTACTTTTTGGATTTGTCTACCTGCAACATCAGTGAATTTCCATATTTTGTTAGAACTTTAGAAGGTTTGGAAGAGCTACATCTTTCTCGTAATAGAATCAATGGTCTTGAGGCAGATATGTTTTCAAAGCTCAAGAATCTCAAGTGGCTTGATCTTTCCCACAATAGTCAACTATCACTGAGCACCACCAACAATGTCAGCCTTTTCCTTCCCAACCTTCGGTCATTGTCACTTTCTTTTTGCAACATCAGTGAATTTGCAGATTTTGTAAGAAATCTAGAAGGATTGGAAGCGCTATATCTTTCTTACAATAGAATCAATGTTATTGAGGCAGATACGTTTTCAAAGCTCAAGAATCTCAGGTCGCTTGATCTTTCCTACAACAGTGAACTTTCACTCAGCACCAATCTCAGCCTTCCTTTGCCCAGTCTTATGAATCGGCAGTTATCTTCATGCAATGCAACTGAATTTCCACATTTCTTAAGAACCCTTGAGAAATTGTCTGCGTTAGATCTTTCCAACAACAGCATCCATGGTAAAATTTCCATAGGGCAATCTGAAGGATGGCCTAGTTTGACATGGATTGATCTTTCTAACAACTTTTTGACAGACATAGAGCATTACCCATGGAAGAATGTGCAGACTCTTAAACTTCGTTCCAACCAGCTTGGAAGGTCACTTTTAGTGCCACCACCTTCAACACATCATTTCTTAATCTCCAAAAACAGATTAAGAGGACAGTTTCCATCTTCGATTTGCAGTTTGAACTCACTTGAAATTCTTGACTTGTCCGACAACAACTTGAGTGGAACCTTTCCCAACTGTTTGGGAGCATTAAGCCATGGTCTCAATATCCTTGATCTCCACAAAAACAACTTTCATGGAAATATCCCTGATTCTTTTGTCAAGGGAAATGTGTTGCAGACAATTAATCTTAGCAATAATGATTTGGATGGGCTATTACCAAAATCCCTGATGAATTGCAGTCAGTTAGAAGTGCTAAATGTTGGAAACAACAAGATCAAAGACACTTTTCCTCATTGGTTGGGAGCTCTACCGGAGCTAAAAGTTTTTGTGTTGCGCTCTAATAGCTTCCATGGACCAATAAGCAATTCCAACATTGGATCTTCGTTTCCAAACTTACGAATCTTTGACCTCTCTCGCAATGAGTTCTCTGGTTCTTTGCCAACATGTTTTGAAAGTTTCAAAAGCATGATAAATTCGGCTAATGTTGAAATGAGATATATGGGAGATCAAGGTGCTTATTACCATGATTCCGTGGTAGTTACAATGAAAGGTGTGGACATCAAATTTGAGATAATTTTAACTTTTTTTACAGCCATTGATTTGTCAAGCAACCTATTTGATGGAGAAATTCTAGAAATAGTTGGAAAGCTCTCTTCTCTCCAGGGGCTTAATTTTTCCCATAACAACCTCATGGGTTATATTCCTTCAACAATGGGTAACTTGACAGAACTCGAATCACTGGATCTCTCTTCAAACATGCTTGTTGGACAGATTCCTACTCATTTGGCTGGTTTGAGATTTCTTGAAGTGTTAAACCTTTCACAAAATCAGCTTGTTGGACCCATACCTCTGGGAAATCAATTTAATACCTTCCTCAATGATTCCTATGCCGGAACCTGGGATTGTGCGGATTTCCATTGTCAAAGAGATGTGGCGAGACTGAGGCTGAGACACCTCCATTTCATGAGGAAGCTGATTCTGAATCCGGATTTGAATGGAAAGCGGCATTGATGGGTTATGGAAGTGGACTTGTGATCGGAATATCTATAGGATGTATCATCTTTACACTTGGAAAACCAAAATGGCTTGTAAGGATGGTTGAAGGAGCATGCCACAAATTGAACAGGCATTTCAGAGGACGAAGAAATTTATAAGGATTGTTGTTGCAGTCATTTTTGTTTTGGCGGAATAAATTGTATTTCATGCTAGTGAAAGTACTATCGTGTGATTGACGTTACGTGGATTTAAAGTTGAATTTCTATCCTTTTACAGCTTTTTCCTGAGAATTTTAGTTGAATTTATTAAATCAATGCAATAAATATTTTATATTTTTAGGTATCTTTTCTTATTTAAAAAGCTAAGTTCGAATTATATTTAAAGAAAAAAAAGTCATTAGTTCAATATTCTCTATTATTTGATGAAGATAAAAATATATTTTAAACTTGGCTTATTTTTTACTAAGAGATCAATGAAATATTTTAACAATAAAATTAAATATTTTAATTAATTTTTAATTTATTAAAAATATTTTTATATATTTTTTATTGCGAATTTATATGATTTGTACCATTTGCTTCCTAAAGCAAAAGTAAATAATGTAAAAAAAAAAAAAACAAACATAACCTATTTATTTTGTGTAAATAGATCAAAAACTTATTTAACTTGAAGAGAAAATTTAATGTTTAGAATTTGAAATTGAAATTTAGAAATTTTAACTTTGAATAATTAAGGATATCTTTTAGTATCAATTTATAACATGAGAAATGATTGTCTTCAATTGAGTAGTTCAAACTACAATCCTTTTCTTTATCTGAGAATTTAGAATGATGAATCAAAAGTTTAGTTTTCATTTGTAATTAATCGAATCGAATATGATCAATAACTAAATCATTAATTTACAAAGTGCGAAAATTCTACAAAGATACTCGTGTTACTTGTCCCTTCCATGGTGAATCGTTTCCTCCACCCAAAATTTTCTTTTTTAAAATCTTACTAATTAATTCTTTGCAAAGGTAATATCAAATAATCAAATTTGATTTCAAGGGTATATAGAGAAAACATTTTAACTTTTAACAAAATTTTCAAACACAATTAAATTCAAGGACAATTCAAAGTATATGGGGTATTTCATCATAATACCACTTTGATGTGTTGTTCATGTGCAGACAATCGGTATCTTCCTTCCCTATATTCTGGCTTCACCCAAGTAAATTCCATATTTTGTGCATAATAATGCCATGTTTGCTTTTGGAAATTTTGAGTCATTACAAGATTATTCAGGTCTTAGTCTGATATAGCAGAGAAGTTCCCCAATACAAAGTCCAAATACATGAATTAGCATTATTGGATGAAATAATGTAAGACACCATAATTCAAGGTGTAAAATGTGAAGTTGGAGTTATGCAATTGGTGGAACAACCAATTGTAAATTCTAAATGAAACAACCAATCAGTCAAATCAAAGACATGTTCAAGGTCACTTTCTATACTTTGTTTCTCATATGCATTTCTTTTAAATTGTGATAATTTTTCATGTGTTAAAAGAGAAAAAGGGAATCTAAAAATTTAAAGCAACAATTTCCAATAAATATATCAAAATTCTTCACAGCATTAAATGTGAGAAATCTGTAATACAAGAAGCAAAATCAGCATACAGACAATTCTAATGGTAACAAATTAACTTTCAGATAGCAGTAAAAATTTCAGAAATCTGATTTGGAAAAGTGATTTGTCTTGAAGTCCAATGCATTGATGTGTAGTTTTCCTACAATTGGTGAATCCGATGTCCCAATTTGCATTTTAGATGGCTCAATTGATGGTGCAAGGGGGCTTTGCAATAGGCGGATCCCATGTCCCTATTTGCTTTTAGGTAGTTCAATTGATGGTGCAAAGAAGCTAGTTTCACCATTCAACTCTTCCCTTCTTCTTGGTCTTCTCATCTTAATTTTCTCAACCAGTCAATGGGGCTATGCAATTGGTGGATCCCATGTCTCTATTTGCTTTTACGTAGCTCAATTGATGGTTCAAAAACGCAAGTTTCAACATCTCATCTAACAAAAATATTAATGCTATATGGAAATGGAAGCTAGAACTGAAAATTCTCAACAGAATTTATTTGGTAAATGGCATGTAAAAATTATAAAAAATGGGAAATATAGAAAGAAACTAATCAGATTTTTTGTATGTATATTCATATAGTTCTTACAAGTATGTCTTTCATCTATTTTTATTTTACATTTCAAAAGATGGTAGTTTTTTTTTTCTTTCAGCAAACAAATTCAAAATTTTACCGGTAATTTCAATATCTCCATTCATCAATTAATAAGGTTGGAATTTATTTTTCACCTAATCTTTTACATCTTGATTCAAAAGATGGTATGTTGTATTGTTTATTTGCAATTATTTACAACGGTAGCAGTAAATTTCTTTACCTTGATTCATCAATTCATAAGGTTATAATTTACTCTTCACTAAATTTTTTACATGGATGAAGTTGAAATTTTCCTATTCATTTTATCAATTTTTGTGTTGATTTTAACTGCCTAAAGAATGAAGCAATGAAATGAATTAGTTTGGACATTTTTATAACCCTCAGGCAATAAAGATAGTAGAAGAAAATTCTCCTATATTAGTACTATATGTTACTAATCTGATTCCAACAAGAGAAAAAAAAAAAAAACGAAAGTTTCAGCGCAAGAACTCTTAATTTTGATTTACAGCAAATGATTGGTCGTGCTTTAAAGAATATATTATGCCTTCTCCACATTTTCATTATTAATGATGTACATTGAAGAAATGAAGAAACTACCAACATTCTTATATTGAGTAGCTTACTCAGTCAAAAAAAGGGTGAAGCTGAATTTGAAGATTCCAAAATTGCTTCAACAAAGAGTAACAAGTCTATAAAATAGAGATTCCACAACAGAGAACTTGGGCAAAGACATTGATTTCCGAAAGCAATGTCAACATGCAAGCAAGAGGATGAAATAGTATAGCTTTTCAGAGGAGCAGTAAAACAAGAGAACCAAGCATCTTAGTTTTCTTACTTGAAAGTTCATAGCATGATTGTTGAAATAAGAAGCTCAATCTTTCAGAATATTTTTTTTGAAATACCAAATACTTTTTCTGTGTAGAGAGTAGATGCTGGTTAGTTATTTTTGGGAGGAAATTGTAATTCCAAATTCTAGGGGGCAAGTTTTGTAATTTCTGCTTCAGTCACTTGCCACTTGTAGGCAAAATCTAAACTTCACCAAACACAAGCCTTCTCGCGAAAATCCCCTTTTGGAGTAATGAAGAGACCACCTTTCCATGGGAGTTCTCTTCATCCCAATAAAACTTGAAACTCCCTTTCTTTTTCCTTTTATCCACTTCCAATATTATTTAAACAAGTTTCAATCTTTTTTGTTTCTTTTTTTTTTTTGGTAGATTATTGACTTATTGATGGAAATGGCACTTGAATCCTCAATTCTCCGCCAACCCACTTTCATTTCTTCAACAAAGTCATCATCTTTCAGGCTTTTTAATCGAAATTTGAAGTACCCATCAAAGTTTTTGTACGAAACTAATCGCGACCCAACTCCTGTTATTCCAAGTTTTCCCAATCCCCAAGTTTTCAAAGCCTTTGGATTGCCAAAAACTGGTGCTTTTGGAAGTCAAACACGTTTGGGATTGTTAAGTGAAGAAAATGAAGACGTGGGTAATGATCAGGATTTGATTTTGGTGAAAAGCGGAAATTTGGTGGCATTGGTTTTTGGTGTGTTGGTTTTTTGGCTGTGAAAAAGTGTCTGCTGTGGAAGGAGAGGTTAATGCTGGTTATGAAGTGATTGGGCAGTCCATGTTGATGTTGAGGAATGCTTGGCCTAAGGTATCTATGCTTCTTAAATTGTACAAGGAGCAAGGTTTGGTTTTTGACAGTCTGTCTTCTTTCCTCTCATTGGCAGGGACGGCTATAACTACATTATGGCCTTGGAAGTTATTGATTTCTTTGACTCAGGATTGGATAGCTTTTATGCTCATTGAATGTATATTTGTAGTTGTTTATTTTTGGAAATCAGAATGCAATGATACACATTGTTGCAAGTTGGAAAGAATGTAGATTCTTTGGTCAATTTATAATGCAGTCGGTTGAATTTTTTCTTTTTCGTGATTATTGTGCAAATTTCTTTGGTGACTTGATATATTTGGCTTAAGTTAAGAGAGTAGAGAAAGGCAAGCAACTTATATAAGCCATAGAGAACAACAACATAAAGTATGTATCATCTCAACTGTTAAACCCCAAGTCTTCATATGTTCTTTACTATAGCATTTTGGTAAAGGAATAAGACAAGTTTTCTGAAGCATAGATTGCCCTTTATTTTTCAAGTTAGGGAGGGTTGAAGTAGATTTGATGCAAGTTTTCTTCATTGTATACTGGTTTTCTCTAGTTTGTCATGTACTCATGTTATCAAGCCTTAAAGAAATCTGTCATCCATTGTTCATTTGGTGTTAATCCATGTCAGATACGTGAGCTGGCCGAAAAAGAGTCTGAAGATGGTGTTTTCAAAATTCTTCGTAGTGATGTAACTCGGTTTATCACAACCGTTCTTATTGGCACCATGTACTCCTCTTTTCTTGCCATCACCTTGCTACGTTCCGCTTCCATTTTTTTCAGCTTAAGCTTGAAAGATTTCTTATTGTAGATTTTATTTGTGTACTCAGTCTGGTCAGTACCGGAGCAACTGCTTTAGTCACAGGCAGGGATTCAAAAAACGGGTTGATAGCGGAATAGCGGCCGCAAAATTGCGGTAGCGCTGCCTTCCGCCACCGTTAATGTATAGAAAACGGTTGAAAAATTCATTCCCATCAAAAACGGAGAATAACGGCCGCAAAATAACGGCGTAACGGGCAATAGCGGCAATAACGGACCGTTATTGTCGCTATTCCGTTTTTCTACTCACGGATCTAATAGTTTTAACAAAAAAACAAAATTTTACGCCTGCAAAATAAAACAACAAACCTGCAAAAGTAAAAGTA